GTCACTCACTGTAATTGTCAGGGTTAGCGTATTTGTTTTGTTATGTATACACTAGCAGTTTTTCTGTGCTACACTCTAGGAAGCTGATGCGAGGCGTTTCCCAAAGCACCTGTTATCCATAAATGGGATTCCCCCAAAAGAGGTGAATTTGCACAAAAGCCTAAGTAAGTGAATAAGTTCTAGCTTAACGGCCTCTAAACACTGTAAATGAGCTGTGCAGAAGGCAACGACCATTATGCACTATGCCTGACATGCTTTCATTGTTGTCTTTCCTCCCGAACACTTCGCAAGACCATTGGTACGTTCGGTGGAACGTATTTGGAATACAGAATGGCAACATGGCTGACATGGATGAAGGAAGACAGTTGCCTCATCGAGGTGAACGACGGGTGAGAGAAGTGGCCGACAGACCTAAGACTCTGTCATCTCTAGAAAGACTGGTCCAGCTCAATCGGTTTCCCCTGTCCAATAGACAAATGCGGAGCATTCCCCATTATCCATGGACATGGCTGTTTGCTCAAATTTGAAAGTTTCTTCGAGGCTGCAGATATGAATCACCTGCGCGGTCAAATGCGCATGTAGGAAATTTTTCACACAGCCAGCAGGTAGCGCGATCGTGGAACCCACAATCAAGCGGAACTGTGACTTTTGCTACAATCGATGCGTTAAAAAAAGATCCTTGAGGGTTTATTGTTTGATAAACAGTGTATCTCACTGTCATGAACTTCACTTCCTGATTCCAGTCCTCGCGTGCGTATCACTGCACGTTTGATGTAAGAGGTCTCAGTAAACCTTGCAGACGACCATATTTTATTTTGATCGTGTAAATTGCATTTATACAGTGCGTGACCTATCTCATAAAACCTGATAACGGAAAATGATATGAGAATTTTTGGACGTCTTAAAGGTTGCGCATTTTGCTTGCTCATCCAGCCACTTCAATTAAACGTCCTTTACTAGGGTGGAAATTGCGTTCACGTAATTAAATCAAACAAAATATTCACAAATTTTGTCGAAAATGGACGCTGCGATATATTCGTGCGATTTCCTGTGCTAGTGCCTGACCCAGACTACGGTTAGGCATCTGAGCGGGTTTTTAATGAAATATTCAGCAATATTGCAAGGCTGATCTGAAACTCGACGTAATCCAAAACGAGTGAAAAGTGCAAATTAAGTTTACGGAAGAGAAATTCTCTCCATAAACACAAAATGGTATGTATACGATCATGCCTGCCAATTCTATTTAAATTTATTGGTTACCGACCGGCCTGGCAACATGTGACCTTATGAACACTTTTGCTCCTACGACGTCCACATAGGTGAAATCGAACAAACTCCCGTGTCTCTTTTTAAACCGCATCTCATTCAACTCAAACGAGTTAAGAATACCACGAGTCCCTGGAAAACTGTTTTGGAATCTATACTCAGAATGTATGCTGATGAGAAACCGCCAGATATGACATTAAACTAATCCTTAAAGGATATTTAGATGCAAACTTCACTAAAACACTGTGTTAAAACATTGTTTTATTTGTTCTTTCCTATTTACTTCGTTTTCCGCACGAAAAGAAAATTTTCGATGCCTTTCATGAGTTAGGTCATCCACTGTAATTGCGACTGTACATCAATGGGTTCATCAGGGGCGCGCCCGTAACCCTCTAATACATACACACACACAGATGTGTCAGGATGCAGTGGAAAAAAATACACTCCACTCTGGTATCAGACAAGGTTGGCCCAAGTACCTACCAAGGTCGATTGGTTGTCCTGAAAAATCTAGCCCCAATTTTGCCCCTGACGTGGATGATTACCTTTAGGGAACAGCGACAGAGAGCGTGCAATAGAATACACGCCGAGGGCACAAGTGCTGACTTTTTTGCAGGCAAGTCGGCAAAGACGGCCAGGAACCAGCTCTTTTTTAGAATCAATACAAAACCAGGAAGCTGTTCAAAAAGGCAGGACCGGTTTCGACTGTGCAAACCAGCGCGCCTAGCCTCAGTTGCCTTTCTTTCAAAATATCTGTGAAAGACCATTTTACGGCGTGATGCCTTTTTTCGGAGGTCTTTCCCAGCGGCTGTTTGTCAGAGGACCCGGATGTGCACTAAATGCCAGCGCAAATACGATGCGCAGAAGCAGAAGGAAAAACGGCGCGGATCCGCCCTTCCTTCTGGCCGACTGCCCCTGTCGTTTGTCGAAAGGTTACCTTGGACGTACTGTCGGCAGCAGCGGGTAGAGAAATATGGCTTTTTACTTCTGTAACACTCTCATTTCTCTCGCCTTCCATCGTCCCATGGTCTCTCTCTCTCTTTCTTCATCTCTCTCAGACACACAAACAGAAATCTGGGCGTATGCCGTACTTAAAAGGAGTTGGAAACCGCCGGAGAAGGGAGCTTTACGCTATAGTTATATTTAGAGTAGCGGAAGCCAGAAAATAGACACCCTGATCCCAAGACTTCCCATCCTCTCATTTATGTGCCCGCGGAAGAGCAGTTTCGCTTCAGTCAAAATGCGGGTTATCGTCGCTTCCCTTCTCTATAAAACTTCCATCTATCTCAACCTCGTAAGCGCTGCACGCAAATGCAGTTCAGTTCAAACCCACCCACCCCCAGCGGATGAAGAGCAACTCTGTGAAGTCTGGGATCTGAGGTATTTTGGATGACGCTGGCTGATCACAGAGGTTTAGGGGGCAGGTAAAAGACCGGCCGTTCTTAAGCGAGTCCACTGCCGGTTACGGGCTGCAGACAGTTCTTTCAGACGCACGATTTGCAGTGGAAGAGATGGAAAGCCCGTGTGCAACCACCGGGTGTCCAGGTGTCCATAAAGGATGCTAGGGGACCCGTAGACGCGCTACAGGAAAACGACTGCAACAGCAAAAGCCCAGACTCTCGTTTACAAGGCTACACAAGAACACTAAAACCAAAATCGAAGTACAGGAGAGTACGTTTTCTAGGGAGTATAAGCGAAATGCAGAACTCCAAGCGCATGTTCGGAGTTGACAGTTAAAGATGTTTTTTTTGCGCACAGCAAGAAAAAAGATGGAGTCTACTGAAGCTAAGGGCAGGCATGAATTTTTATGCACGTAGAATACATCTAAAAGCCTCAGTCAAGGACTGAGATGACCGAAATTATCATCGCATACAAACTCGAAGAAGCAATTGGACGCACGGACAAGGTCGAAGAGTCCATGCTCACCCGATCAAATGGGAAGATTGTAAATACATTGGCGGACAGTGGCGGCGCACGGGTTAAACCGTTCCGGGTTATTCCTAGTCATCCGGTACTCATTACCCTCGTAATCCTGCCGCATAGACATAAGGCGGTCTGGGCAGTACAAGGGCGGACTTTCTGACTTCAAACTTCAGAGCGCTGCGTCCACATAATCGATTTTCTACATGAGCGAGTAGAGTACCAGTTTCTTGCAAAACCACCTTCAACACCCAGGCATATTGGACCACACCTAAATAATTAGGACGTGTATAAGGTTTATAATTCAGTGCGAAGGATGCGCACGACTAGGAAGAATTTGTACCTACACAGTAGCAGCTACCAGAGGGGGAACTAGTCATCACGAAATGTCCCTAACACCACGACGCAGAAGACTGCGCAGTGAAATCCACAACCAAGGCGAACGCAGAGCAAAGTCCCAGGCTCTCCGTCTCCGAATGCGCCCGCCGTGGACTAACCGTCAATTTAGAAATGTTCCATGTTGTAACAAGCGGCGTCAGTTATATGATACACCATACCTGTGGTAGTTACTAGTGCTAACCCTCTCGCAACGGTAGACACATTCTTTTGCCTGCACAACACCATTTCGATTGCTATTAAAATCGACGGGGAAATAATAGCCTGGTTTCCTGAATCCAGCCAGGTACTTTGAAGCCCGGACAATTCACTTTGAACTGATTGCGATATACCTTTCAATGCCAAGCCGAGGATGTGAATGGTTGTCGTCCTGACAACATTCCCCTAAGTCGCGGATAATATTAAAAAAATCACGTCAGAAGATTGGAACACTTCCAAATTAGCCGTCTTAAAGCATGTCCAAGGCAAAGGAGCGAGAATGGATTCAGAACATTCAGATTTTAGAGTTGTTTGGGCGGTAAGGGGCCCCGTCATGCCGGAAACGACTCAGCTTTATTGCTGCAGTCAAGAAGTGAAACTGGATGAAACGGGCCCCCAGAAGTGGCAACGAGCAAAGGTGAACCAACGTGGTCTAAATGCGAAATCACCCAAAAGATCCGGAAGTCGGCGCGGGGACGTGCCGTGAGAAATAAAGGTGCATTCGTCGCACTCAACTGAGTAGGGAAGGCGGAGACAGGCGCGCAAGATCGAAGTATCGCGGACAAACCACTGTTTATATGTCTGCATTATCAAAGGTCGTCCGAGACCCGATGTGGTCTTGTCGAACACTTTCGGATTTGCCGCAGGGCCAACACACATAGCAAGGAAAAACGCCACTATCGTTAAAGAAAACTCTCCAGATTTCTTTCACAGTGCCACTGATCTCCAATCAAGCTGCTCGGATGCCACTATACCCACCATAATAGGGAAGCCGTCGGGACACAGAAGGGAGCCACTGACAGTGCAGAAGCTAACTTGCGGGATAGGTTTGACTTAGTGAGATTAAAACGGCAAAGAAAGCGACATACGAGTGACATCAAATCTCACCTCTGACATCTACTGATGAGCCGAACCCCTCGCACCTTTATCATGCAACGGCGGAATATTGGCGAAACAGTTGTCTGGGCTTTTAGCTAGTACCTATGCTGTCAGATCTCGAATATCGTGTAACCGTCATAAGTTTACAGTAGTTATACAAACTACTAAAACAATATGAGTAGAACATCCAATGCGTATTTTTTTAAATCGGTAAACAAAGTTGCACTCGAAAAGTAGCGTTTTAACAAACACCAAAAAGGCAAAATTTAGGGCAAAAAGACAGTGTCCCTGAGGCATTCTCTATCCCTGAGAAGAAGACAGAGACCCTGGTCATTAAATCTCTAGGCCTTTCGTAATTGTGTGAGTTGCTTGTCAAGTCTGAGCGCAGCGGTCAGGTCTCCCTCGATGATTAATTTTCCCGCGGCAAAGAGATCCGATGTATATGCAGTGCCGTTGAAGAGGGCGATAAAGTCCTCGCTAGGCAACTCAAAGGAGCAGTCCACGGCGGTTTCGTCTACTGACGATTCTAGTTTCTTTACTTCGCCACTCAGTGACTTCAGATTGATAAGCCAGACACCTGGTTCACTTCCTAAAGAGGTAGAAGATGAACTGTCGGGAGACAAAAATCTGTTGGACTGTTAAAGCATAAAAGATTAGAAAGCCGTTACAAGGTGGAAAAAAGTAGTATAATGAGAGATTGATGTGGTTACTTAATTTGCCTCAGCAGGCAGAAAACATGCATAAAAACGAGCGGGATACACATATAGTCTATGTAAACATCGCGAGGTTCGCCTTTCAAATCAAGCAAAATGTGGGCCCTTTAAAGACACTAAAATGCACTGATAGGTCGAAAATAGCAGTCATGGTTCTACGGCCCATATCAAATTAACAAGCATAATGGCGGGGAGGATGCGAGTGATGGTGAACCAAATTACTGAGTAATCGTCACTCCAAGAATTGATAAGAGTTATGAAATCACGGCAAAAAACAACTCGGTTACGGACCGAAAAACAGTCATCGCATCAACTACGAGCCCCAGAGAAAAACACAGGTGCTTCCAAATATAATAGGCGTGTGGTTGCCTGGCAACCGCGTCCTAGAAATACCGTGCACCTTGGAGCTCTTGTACTCTTTTCTGCGACCGTTCGTGAGCATGGGTCTGAGTGAGAATCCGAACCGTCAGGCCAATAAACCTCCCGTTCCAGCGATTGCATCTTATTCCTCTGGACTGCTTCCTTGAACACGCCTGTTTGCTTCTATCAGCCCAACGATGCGGAATCCGCAAACCCACCGTTTCCGCGTGTGCGCTGCCGATAGCATAAATTCAACTGGTAGTAGTGGGCCGATTCGGGCAATGAATTGGATTCCACGGGAGTGGCTTTGACGGAAACGTTCAGATTACAAGGCAAAATAAAGGCGGTTGCATCCTGCCTTGGTAGTCTACAGTCTACGGCAGATGGTCGCTTTGCGATGAAATCACCGGTCGAAAAGAACTGGAGACTGGAATGGTCTTACTTGACGCCGACAGCCATTCAAACTCTCTATTCTAGGCGGTCAACTGCGATTTGAATCCGGTTCAGTGGATTATAGGGCATTCTTAAGTCCAATGCTCCACCACATTGGCTACAAGAGCACGCCTTGTCATCTGAGAACCACATGAGATCGACGGTTATTGATGTGGTCTGGCAACCGGAAAATGAAAATCAACCCCATAAGTGAGGGAACCCCAGAAACCATCGATTTACTGCTTACGAGCGCCAGCAACGTGGGTGTGGGATGGTTGGACGACTCTCAAAAGCAAACGCCAGAGCTGATGGGCGAAAGCCGACTAGTGGTCAAAGGTCATCTAACCGTGATTGCGGCAGGCTAGGCGTACCAGCGGCAACTGGCGTTCTTCGTCCGAGGTTGCGCATCGGCCATGACCGATGGCCTGGGGCGAGGGCGCTGCCGACGTCCATAGAGCAATTATCCTCTAAGTTTGTACTGGCGTCGATTTTGCTTACGCTGCTATATACAGACTGACAAGTTCGACTGCCGCAGGTGACAAGGCCCACCACTATCTTCTGGGTGGGCAAATTTGCCTATGGCGAAGAAGAGCGTGGCGGTATCCTACCTCACTCACTGTTCACTCATACACCCACAGCGTTCTTCCAGTGAAAAGACAATTTTTTAAACAACCGGAGATTGGTATGGACGGCGAATTTCGACCACATGCGGGGTGATGGGATTTGGCAGGAGTGAAATATAACCACTCACCATGAAATTCACGCTTGCATGGACGCTACTTACCCACGCTGGGTGGACGTCTGCATTTGGTCATCGAGCTCGGAAAGGACACTTTAGACAGCATGTTTGCTATATTAATTTCCTTGGACAACGGTGGTTCAACCGAAGCCTGGCTATCTACACCAATGATGACACAATAAAATTTCCCGCGGCGAATTTACGCGTATGCTACACAAACTCTCCCCTCCTACGTTTGGGTGGTAAAGACAGGCCACCGTTGGAGGCCACATCAGTGTGCATCTACTCATTCACTTGTTCCGATGGAGCGGGATACATCGATTACACAACGAGACGCCTGGTAAAGAGGGTGCGTGAACACATGCCCGCCTGGTTAGACAGAGGATCACCGAGTCGATGCCAAGGAAGCATTTCAGATTGTCTACCGGACACCAACATGCTTCTCTAAAGGCCTACGCCAACGGATACTAGCAACGGCCGGGGCAGTGGCTATACAGCTACCAAATCCGGTGTTATGCTGTCAGAAGACCTTGACACAAGCGCTCTCTCACGTGGCCAAAGCCAACCCCAAGTGATGAAGCCATGCCGCCTCAAATCCCTAATCACGATGATGGGTACTCCGTGTACTCAACCCAAGAACATCACTCAAAGACTCTCTTACCCCCTCCCCTAGCTCTGGCGACTAACACCCGCCGGCCTTCTCATGCGGGCGGCGTGGGGATGATGAGTGTTAATGACTTAATAGCTCTTGAGACCTCTATAAACACTGTTGATTTTGTACATTTTCATTCCTTCATGTAACTGTAAGGCCTGACGAAGAATTACCTAAAACACGCGTTTGCCAACTTGACATTTCAATTGAAAATATGCTTACCGTAATTATTTGCCCGATAACAGCGTACGAAATAAGGCCACAGAAAGAGAGAACATGGTAACTTTCCACGCAACACCATAGGGATTTAAATATAGTGGTATGGTAGACATTCTGCTAAATGGCTAAGGGATTCGGGGTCAAATAGGAAATGAGCTGTTAGGGAAATTTACGCTTTAATTTGGGACGACACTATTGAGAGGTTGGTTCTGTTAATACCGTTCTCAAAGGTATTATGAACAGCAGGCAGGAATCCGAAACGTCAGGCTAATAAAGCTCCCGTCCCAACGATCGTGTCTCCTTCTTCAAGACATTATGAACAGCATTCAACGGAGAGGTCGGTGTGCTGCGCAAGGTTGCCGCATTCACGGGATACAGTTCGGTCTGGGGATTAATTTCAGAAGGTGGGATGGTTATATTTCCGTCTAACCTGTGATTTGAATACTGTTATCGATTACGACAGCTTGGACGCTGGCAAAGGCATGCGAAGAGAGGGAGTTCTGAGTAGTAGTTGAGGAAGTGTACTGGGTCGCTGGCCCTGATGTGATTCATGACGCTCCGACCCATCATGGTAGGCGCAACGACTTTCCTTTGCCTGTTAGGCTACAAAAATGCCCAGGCGCGGGATAGGCGGTACAGGCAGCCTACCAACAAAGGTGATTGAGAGGGAGGTCGGGGAAACAGTTATCGTGCTAATAACGGACATCAGCGACGAATGCGCGGTAATCGGTGAATTACTCGCGGTCTGTCTACGGCAGCGGTAGCATCCTAACAATAGCAATCTAACCCCCCCGCGTTTTTCTGGTGATATCAGGCCAAGAAGGCTCTCCCTTTGTCTAAACGGTCTACTTCTCAACCTGTGTACTTCAAAAACGTCAGGATACTCAGTGAACGACTCTTGGGACTGCCCGGGAAAGTGTACTTCGGCCTTGAGCACATTGAGACTCTGAGGATATAAGTAAATTCTTCCTGGAAGGCAGGCGTGGTCGGCTCAAGTCACCAGAGCTTGGTTGCGTTTCACTCCGTTTAACTCACCCCACTGAACTGAGGTGTGAGGAGCAGCTAATAATCAAAAGCATGTTGAGAAATGCTGACGACGGAGATAGAGGCGACTAAAGTGGCCATTTCTGGCTCACCGATTGTCGTCAGTCGAACCTCGGTCTCCACATCTCTGAGACTACAGAAAGAACGATATCGATATAAATACCCTGGCAATCTAAACTCCCTGCGTGCTTCTGGTGATGTCAGGCAAAGAAGGCTCTTCCTTTGTCTAAACAGTCCACTTCTCAACCTGTGTACTCCCAAAACGTCAGGATACTCAATGAACGACTTTTGGGACTGTCCGGGACCGTGTACTTCGGCCTTGAGCACATTGAGACGCTGAGGATATGAGTAGGTCCTTCCTAGAAGTCACCAGAGCTTGGTTGGTTTTCGCTCCGTTTAACTCGCCCCACTGAATCGGGGTGCGAGGAGCAGCTAATAATCAAAAGAATGTTGAAAAGTGCTGACGACCGAGATAGAGGCGACTAAGGCGGCCATTTCTGGCTCACCGATTGTCGTCAGTCGAACCTCGGTCTCCGCGTCTCTGAGACTACAGACCTCTGTGCGACCGCACACACACACAGGTGTTCCGAACCCAGAGCCCTGGGCAAGGTGCAAATGCCCACTTCCCTCCTGAAATCAGGACAGATCACTGAACGAAATTCACATACGACTCGAAGGCAGCTTTTTGGTTGACTGATTCGCTGTGACGTAAGAGGGAGGGGGAGCAGCGGCAGCAGAAGGAAGAAGGTGGAGTTTGAGGGACGAAGAGGATGAAACAGGAAAAAAGGAGAGAGACAGATGGCAGTGGGGGGGGGGGTGGAAGGTGCTAAAAAGTGTTACGAACGGTCTCGGCAGGGTTGCAGTTTTCTGCACCAAAAGTTATTCAGAACAATTCGAGTTAAGGGCTACCCACCTGACAGTTTGAAGGCAAAGGTTGCGTTCACCTGTTCTATAACTGCAGGTGACCGTGTCAACTTAATATCATTGAAGACGTCGGCTACGGTCTTCTTCTGGGCCGAGTTTTGTGAAGAGGCTGGTTTGGGGGCGGCGGACGAATCTGTTTCTGTATTTTCGACAAACAGATCGATGGCAAGCGTTGCACCTAAAATATATGATGTAGGTGTTACTTAGGAAAAAAAAAGAAGAATGCCATTAAACAAAACCAACATTCGGAGTCGATAAGGCAGCCTTTCTGAATAAAATCATACTATGGAAATGGTGAGGGTTGCCCTGAACGAGACGCGCGAGTGTTGTCCGACTGTTACGCGGGGCAGGGAACCGCCAAACCGCAAGTCAGTCCCGTCCACGAAACCCGCGCATGATTCAGCAATTAGCGCGACCTTTGGGGGGTCAGCAACGCGCGAAAGTCAGCTCATGCGGGCGATCAGAGCTTAGCCAATAGGAACACGCAGTGACAAGACCTCTAAATACAACATTATGGACAGAAGGATTGAAAGTTGGTGTACACACAGTGATCGCCGCAGTCCTGTCTGTCTTCTGCTCCACGCAACGACTGGGGATATGACGGAACTTAGTGTAAGCCAACTACCCCCTCCTAAAGTAATTTATGAGCGTCGTGGAATCTGCGAGAGAAACGCGATAAAAGCTTGGAGCTGGACAAATCTCAAAAGGATAAAAAAGGAAACTACCCCACATTCAAAACCAAACCAGAATGCGGAATAGATCAACAGCTGCAGGCGAGCCATGCCGGCTAACTAGCCCCCACGACATCCCTGGTTCTATTGTGAGGTAGGGCGGAGGGGGTGTTAGGCAGAGCAACTGCGAAAAACGGGATCTTGCACGCTGCTCACAACCGTCTTCTTCACCGCTTCCTCTTCTCTGGCCTGTTCCATCTGCCCTACGTCCACCTAGACTACTGTCGACTACTATAACTTGCACAAGACGACCCAGGCGAATAAGCAGCGTTCAATGGGGGAGGGGGGGGGGTTGCTTAAGGCAAGAATTTTAAACTCTGCATTTCCAGTCGTACACCAAATCCAACACCAGGTGATTCCTGGGCAGAATTAGCCTTGTGGAGGCAGTGAGTAGCATGCGTCGTTTAGAGGGCCAAATACAGCAGAGGGCTGCCCCCCACCACCCCCGTCCTTCGTGTGAGTCATCGGTGCATGTGTAGAAGCAACGTTGATACCTGCGTCGGCATATTTGGTCGCGATAATCGTCGTCAGTGTCTCGCGTGACCTTTTGACCTTTGGCCACGTTAAGCAGTCTGCGAAAACACGGAATGGCGCAAACACCTATGTGTGGTAGTAAACTTAGCGGGTGAGCAGGTCCGATTGCAGGATAAAGAGGTCCATTCATTTGACGTTTCAGACTCCTGCTCGTTTATTACCGATTACTTTTGCCTAAATGCCATTAAATGGTAAAAATAGTGTCCCCCTCTGATTGGTGACAGTATGGGGGATCAGAATTTGTAATACCACAAAGTTTTTGGATGTTCAACTCTTTTCCTCGACAAAACTGCTCCCGGAGTAAGTGACCCCGGGCGTAAACCATACCCTTGCCCTTCTCCTTCTGTTGTAAGTTGCATTTATGGGGAGAGGTCGTTGAGATAAGCACTTTGTGTAAAAGGCGGCCAAACGGACAAAACTCGAAGTTTTGGCTTGCAATCTCTTATGTGAAGAATGTATCAAAGGTGACGGGAAAAACTCGGAGGCCGCTCGGGATCGGTGTGGCTCATAAGCCAGAGTCAACAATAAGACAGCAAATAATTAGGCCCAAAGACCCGCTACCAGTAAGGGGACAATCAGCGGTGTTCTAAAGCATACCGTGCCAAAACTGTGATGCGAGGTATGTTGGTGAAACGGGCAAGCGTCTTGGCACAAGATTGCATGAACACCAGCTTGCAGTCAACCGCAAGGACAAACTGTCTATGGTTTATGGCCACGTACAACAGAAAAACAACAATTTCGCCTTTCAGAACGCAAGGGTAATCGGCCGAGCCAATGATAAGGTGGGCAGACTGATGCTCGAAAGTTGGTCCTCAAATGGAACACTTAACAGAGCCACAGGTCTGCATTCCCCCTACCAGGCGCTAGGCACAAGGGTCGGGTCAGTGCGGACAAAGCTACCAGGGCAGTCGAGCAAAGTCACGTGTTGCCGACAGCTGATGCCGGCGGGAAATAGGAGAGAAGCCGGCCGGAGGTCATGTGCGCACCCCGGGACACTAACTCACCGCGGCGCCCACGAGAGTAAGATAAACTCACATGAGCCCCAACAACTGATCAGTCCGTTGGGTGACGAAGGGGAGGCCGACAAGCATGCTGGCTCGCCGACAATTACGACGGCCGCAAAGGGGTCAAAGGTGACACGACCCCACCGGCGGTCAATCTCGGAGAGGTCAACAGTAATTAGCAGCGAACGGGTACGTCCTAGTTCGCGCATCGAGCACGGATATAATACCAGGCAGGCATCAAGGCTAAAGCAATCAAGGCCAGCAGGAACAAACAGCACACTACTCTGATGATGGAAACGAGAGTTTCCGAAACGTCACTCTAAATATATTTCGGTTCACGAACTCGTCCCTTCTTCTTCGTCTTCTTCGGGGGATGATGAACACAACTAATTCACGTGCATGTCACTGGTGCTGCGTCTACTCCGCTCGCGATGATCTAACTGCCATATGCTCTCTAGCTGTTGCCCCCTCCCCGTGCACATGCAATTACCACACATGAATTGTAGTCACTAGACTAAGGGTGATCTTGCCCGCCTAAAGAAAAAACATTTAGCTTCGTCACCCAAAGATAAACTGTTGATTTAATCATGTTACGGCTCGTTCAACGAGATCTGGCTACACATTCAAGTTTGACGAGGCCGAAATTCTCGGTAAAGGTGACAACTGCGTAAGACGCAATCACCTTGAGTCATGGTTCATTGGCTGCAGTCTTGTAACAAGTGCGATAATCTTCCCCTTCCATAGTTGGTGCTGAAACTTCGCTCAGACGGAGTAATTAGTCACGGTGGGGGGGGGGGAGGCGAACAGGTGAACACTGATCCCAACGCCAGGGTCGGTGGGTCAGATGGTCGAGCCATCATCACCAACATCCAACGCGCGTGATGAAATTGCATCGATTAACGACTCAAATGTCGATTATCAAACAGTTGTCACACCAAGTGCAACAATCCCTGATGAAGGGGGAGGGGAGACGTAAATTTTCGTAGGTATGCGGTGCTACTGCATCCTGCAAATGGTCCAGCCCCTAGCTCCGTATTTGCTATTGTCTTTGATGATGGGTTCGAGCAGAAATCCGAAACCTCAGGGGAATAAAGATCTTGTCCCAGTGATAGTATGTCCTTCTTCAGGTTTGAGAACTCTATTTCTGAGCAGAGTAAGACATCGCGGAAGCCTCTAAGACATCTTCCACGCATAGGATGCCCCGGAGTGTTCAGTCACCTCCACTCAGCTCCTTCGGCGTGGCTAAATGCTTTCAAAGAATGTCATTCAGTCCTTCCCTGCTGCCAGAAGAAGTCAGCCCTCGCTGTCCTGACAGTTGGCGAACTGCGCTGACGGTTAAATTACCGATCAGGCCTGCAAATACAATGTCATTTTTGTCTCAGAATTTGGCTGATGATGGAAAGCTCTGAAGGCTGGTCTCCCCAACTGATTATCCAGTCTGACTCGCCAGTAGAAGTCCTCATCAGGATGTGCCTGTTAAACCCAACAGCTCCGGCGATGGCAGGCGGGGGTCAGATTGGGTGCACCACATGAATTGACTGCGAATCCAATACGAGCCGATTTCTAAGGCGAGAATCAACGGGCCGTTTAATGCCACTAATAATTCAGGCGGTGAGAGAGCCCTAATGACAGCGCTTGGATAGCGCCTGCGAGAGTCTGACATAAAAGCCGCCTTCCTCACAAGCAGGCCGACGACAGAGTCGATCCCCTTACCATCCCTTTCATCAAGGCAGCACTGGCTTGAGCGAGCAAGATGACAGTTATCAGGCCTGAGAAGAACGTGATTTGGTCAGCGCCAATCATGTGGTTGATCGATGGGAAATGCGGTTGAGCACGGAATGCGCATCGACGCACAACGGCAGTGCTGGCGTCGGTGCGCTAATGTGATTGGGCACTGGGCTATAGTCGACTATAAGCAGGGGCTTGTCCTCTGTACAGCTGCAAACGTCAGGTTGGAAACTCCGTACGTTAGCAACGTAAAGTGAGTCCGTCAGGGGCAACAGTGAAGCGGCCAGTTCTGCAGGGAGGTTTTCGAAATCACATTCAAACGCCGTCCTGCGTAGGAGAACGGACGTCAATTCAGCCAGACTGGACTCTAATCACGCAAGTTTAAGTCGCCATGCTATCGCATACCTATGACGACTGCAGTCCCTTGTGCGTGAACCACCCGTATCTGCTATTGTCTCTGATGACGGGTTCGAGCAGGAATCCGAAACGCAAGGCGAATAAAGCTCTTGTCCGAGCGATCGTATCTGCTTCTTCACAACTGCTTCCTGGGACTCGTCTCTTCACTTCTAGTCGGGCATCCTATTTAATATGGATCTACAAAGATATTACACGCAGTTTGAAGGACCTACTCGAGGCAGATATGGAGGTCTGTTCCATCGCGAGTGAGTAGCGGTCGAAATAAAGCAGGAAGTGCTCTACTGCCTATTGCAAACCAGCAAATATTTGAAGAAATATGCATTTAAACCCGACCCCCTCCCCCACCCAAAAAACGATAAAAGCGGCGGCCTTTTCGATAATCAGATAATCTAAATTTCTGTGTTCTTCTGAGGACGACGAAATGGGACAAACAACATTTAAGTGTTAGGAATCAGGTATGATGAATTCTCTACAAGATTACGCGACCAGCGGGGTGAAAATAACTCACAAGCAGGCAAGGAAATACGGTTAAAAGTGTACGGCCCCATTCCGTACATAAAAGAAGTGGGTGGAGCTATATCAAGTAGCCTAAACTATATGGGTAAGCAAGTATCCTACAAAACTCAAAACGAATCTGAAAACTCAATCATTCTGTGATGCGCGTCACATCGGCGAAACCAACTGTTCTATTATCCTCGAAGCTTTGGAATTCAGATTGCGGGATCGAGCCTTAGGGGATGCAAAGCCTGGGGTTGGACAGGCCTTGTTGATGGCAACTAATACTCCAGAAATGGCCATCCCCTTCTCCCTTGTCTTCGTTGATAATGTTACTTTGCCTATAGTACCAGCCGCTATGCAGATGGGCGAGCACCGATTGCTTACGGGAATCCCTTATCCCTTTTTGCCATTGGGGTCCGATCTAGAGCCAAGACAGAGATCTAAGATGGATCTACTCGTTTCAGGAGGAGAAGTGGAGGGATTTTCGACCTTTGGTGATCGTAGACAGGAGCAAATAAAGTAGCCCGAAGTGAAGGTGTTGGCGGTTAATCGATTTACGCAGCAGTGGCAATAAACGTCAACTGTGGAAGCCCTTCAAAAAGCAGGTAGTTGGTATATATTAATTCCACCGAGACCGCCGAGTTTTCCACAACTGAGCCCAAATAAGTTATTAAAATTTGTCAAACAATCTATTAATTAGGTGAGTCCCGTAGTCATTCTGTGAATTCATGATTGGGTACCTAAGAAATCCTACATCGGCAGCCAGCTTACTGTATCAGGCTTTTATCATGATGGGACTCTTGAATAATCCAATGACCATGTGATTAGCATTTTATCGTAAATTTCTGCACAATGCGAGGGTTATGTCATCCACTCTATGCATATGTGAATGTCCCAAAGACATCATATGTGCTAAACGAACAAAAGAGAAAGGCCAAAAAGTAAGTCATAGAGTTCATTTTAACCTGCTTGTGATAACCACAGCCACCTCGGTGGAATTTGAACCCACGACAGTAAGGGAAAGGCTTGAGTACGACCAACGCTCCAACCACCTGGGCTACAAGACCCTACCGGGAGGCGCGAGTTTAATCCCATTTGGGTCAAGTTGCCTATCCAGCCTATTGCAACGCATGAAATCTACTAAATCCGGTACAGTAAGCTGACTGCATAAGCAGGATTTCCTAAGCAACCAATCTAGAATCCACCAAATGACTACTAGGCTTATTTAGTTAATAGGTGTTTTGGCAGATTTGAATAATTTGTTTTGACACATCTGTGAAGAACTCGGTCTCGTAGCTTAAGTGGCTAGAACATTGATTGTATTCAAGTACTCCCGTTGTTGTCGTAAGTTCGAATGCCACCGAGGTCGCCGAGTTTGAGCAGTTGGGTTAAGATGAACTAGTCGAAATATGTCAAAAATTCCATTAATTAGGTGAGTTGGGTAGTCATCTGGTGGATTCTATATTTATTACTTAGAGAATCCTCTTTGGGCAGCCAGCTTACTGTATCGGAGTAGGTGGATTCCCTACGTTTCAGTAGGCCGGGTGAATAAATTGACCCAAATGATCTCAAGCTCACGATTACAGATCGGTGGTTTTTGTAGCGATGGCCTTACTCAAGCCTTGTCCTTGCTGTCTTGGGTTTGAATACCACCGAGTGCAATGAAAATTTAAATAGTTCAGCAGTTGGGTGAAAATATTAACCGTTCAGAAACCAGAAAGTGCATAAATATATTACACAAAATTTCAAAAGACCCGTCCTCTAACGCACAGTGTTAGCTTTCTGTCGTAGGAGAAATGGGTTTGGTAAGGAGGAAAATCAAATTTCGAGTAAAGGGCTAAACAAAGGGCTTAGAGAGGAAAGTCGAGAAGGATGCCGGGCTGTCGGTCACGATCACGAAATGGAGACTGGTGACTTTCACGAGCCTGCATTTCTTCTCATGAGTGACCGGACGGCATCGCCATCGAGTTTTGACTTAACTATGGCTATTACTCGCTAACAACAAGGCAGAGCACCACATTTGAGCTGAGCAAAAAGGATCTTATCCTAAACAGCCTCCAGTGCTAATTTCGCCCTCCGGATTAATCCAGTTTTAATGCTGTCTTGATTGGACTATTAAGAGTAATAAATTTGGTGGGCTCTTTGCTATAATTTTTGGGATTAACTCTGTCATCATGACAACCTAAGACAAAATTCAATAGGCTGATCCAGACGGTTTCTACTTCCCTAACAACAGAAAGTTGGATTACAAACACGCCTTTGACGGATTGTCGAGTAACACTATGTGGGCATATGCGCGGTAACTTATTAGATACCGTAGAGGAGATATTAAAAAGATAAGAACGGAAGTACCCTTCTGAACGCTGTAGTTCTCGAAATCCGTGACACCTCTGCTTCGCAGAAGGTCCTCGTCGATGAAGAAGTTGCCTGTGTTAGCATCGCTGCTGGAGGGGAGGGTGAGAATAGCATGAGCGGCGTCTGCCATGATTTCTGGCTTACGACATCTAACAGCAAACCCGTCCGAGAAGAGCATACGAGTCGCCGCCGTGTAAATGGCTGTTCGTGGCCAGAGAGCATTAACTGCGATGTTGTGTTTCCGCAGTTCCCTATGCATCCCCAGCACACACATAGACATTCCGTACTTAGACATCGTGTAGGCCACGTGACTCGAGAACCACTTCGGATTCATGTTCAACGGCGGAGAGAGATTCAGTATGTGCGGATTCCTTCCCTTGATTAAATATGGAATGGCCAATTTGGAACTGGAGGAAGGAAATGAAGGCAAAAGTTAAGAAAGAATTTTTCTAAAAGTGACATTAACAATCGTCCCAAGTCTGCTATTTGATGGGCAGATGGCGAAATCGTTAAGATGGAGTGTTGTTTCGAACAGATATGAACACTAGCGTAAATCGGGCATAGGTCATATGAAGACGAGGAAACGTCATCAAGAAGGCATCAGCCGGTCGTGACCTGACCCCACGCCGGGAGGGCAAAAAATACGTCTCCGAATTCGAATGCCAATCGAACAGAATATTGACACGGGTACAGGTCCTGTAGGCCGTGACTAAGAATACTTCTAGTCAAACCAGAATGGAATTCGCCGATACTAGTTGATTGCTGGACGGATTAAAGACAACATGGAGATAAACGAGTACATTTTTGCCAATACCAATATGTTTTTCAAAGCAACAGTAGTTAATTCGTCTCAAATCGTAGGTCCATAACTATTTTGGATATCAACGTCACTGTCTGGGGAAAACTACGATTAAATCATTGCGCATTGAGATGCGATCTATGAACTTCGTTCGATTTAGCTAGTGACACCTAAATCGCCTTCAGTTACTGCGGTTGACACCCATGTAAGTAAGTCGTTCTCGATAAACCCTCTTAACAGATTAAAGGGACGAATGCAGTAACTCCGGATGTTACCGGATTCCCATCCGAAAACTTGCTTCGGAGATGAGAGAAAAGGACAAATTGAAGGGGTCGCGTGCGATGTGCCCGAGGGGAATCCAAAGGTTTGTACGACGACGTACCGTTTCATTGATGGCGGAACGTGGTCTTCCTTCAGCGTCATACGAAGTTACACTGTCCCCAACTCTCCGAACTTCCCTGCTGCTAATGCCAGCTGCCACCCATGGCGCATATTCTAACAAACATGTGTAAACTTAATGGTCTCCACTGAGTACGTCGCAGATTTGCTTACGAAAGTATGCTAGGGTCGGTCTGGGTAGAAAATTTCGGCTTCACACTTGCACTTAAGATTGTGTAATTGAGTTGAATCAGGGTACTTATTCCGTAGGGTTTGGTAGACCACAAATGATGGAAGAAGTCTGTGAAAACTACTTTCCGCCGCGTACAGCATCCAGCTGTCGAATATAATAACGCTTTTTCCTCATCTAATCATGTCGACATGTGCTCTAATTACCGCACATCGGGCTTACCGTAATTAAACAATAAAACACCATGGATAACATTTCCATCTGGAAATATACATTAGTGGTGCAGACTAAGAATATGCATGCGCAAACTTACTAAGTTTGAAAGCTATGATCAACCAAGGTGGTTAATAATAAGAAATGTTACAGCTTTTGCTTTGGGGTATTGGCCAGACAGCCAGATAGTGGGTCTTAGATGCAGTTGGACGTACCAAAGGTATGTACCACGGACATTTATGTCCATCATCAAATCATAAGATTTCATTGGAGTATCCGTCGTATTAGTAAGAGCAATTGCTGAAGCATTGTTAACCAGGATGTCGATTCCACCGAAGCGCTTCACTGCGTTCGAAATCGCCTCCTGTACCTGCTCCTCATTGCGCACGTCAACGGCACAGGGCAGGGCCTCACCTCCCAATTGGACAACTTCATGGAATAATAAATGAAGAGAGGTCAAACCTTCTTGCGCAACCTCACGTAACGTGCCTGGCAACTTTGGATGTGGTTCGATAGTTTTCGCCGCTAATATAAGCTTAGCCCCGTCAGCGGCAGCACGCAGAGCAATGCTCCTTCCTATGCCGCGGCTGGCTCCAGTAATAAAAATGACTTTTTCAGCAAGCGAACTAAGAAGCGTTGAAAAGACAAGCAAACAATACCCAACAGACGAAGCCATAACCCGTGTCGGAAAGAATGTGGAACACACCAAAGGCCTTGTGGCAGGAGCGACTTGGCTAACGCGCCAAAATGTCAAGGTCAACACTTGGTTTAGTCAAAGTTCCTGAAATTCGCGTGAACATTATCGTTCGATGACGTCAAGTGTAACACAAACTAAGTGAGCGAAGCATTGAGAATTATTCCTGACTAAGGGCGAGTTGGATACCGTCGGTAAACCCGTCAATGCACTCATCCTTGCACAAAGACAGAGGAATTCAGTGGCTATAAATGTGTAACCTAGACAGAAGGAAATAAGGTGCACATAACGATAGTTAAACATCCGGAAATGATGATTTACAACAAAGTATGACCTGTCTGATGGCAAGATGAGATTGGCATGCTTGATTAGACTGTCGGTGGTAAATGCAATGCTGTGGGCAACTGCAGCACGGGACCGTGTAACGTATGTGCATATACACATATGTGCCCCAGGGTCACGAGGCGAGCTCTTGATGATGATATGTATGTGCATCTGACACTATAAATACAACTATATTCGGTTAACACAAAATATCGCTATTTTAAAGTTTGCGAAAACACCACATCAAACTTGCACGGATGCGTTCCATAGAAAATGAAAACCGGGGATAAATCTCATACGTGACCACAGACAGTTCTGTCGTGTCGGCAAAGAAAAGCAGAAACGAGGGAGCACTTGTGTCTGCGGATAGTTCGGAATCTTCACACCAGGTTTCAGCACACTCAATAATAATAATAATAATAATAATAATAATAATAATAATAATAATAATAATAATAATAATAATAATAATAATAATAATAATATTAATAATAATAATAATAATAATAATAATAATAATAATAATAATAATAATAATAATAATACTAATAACTTGTCAGGTCCAAAACGCATAGAGCGAAATATAGACGGAGAGAATTGCAATAGGCATTTTGAGCACCAAGCTGAGAGAGCGAGCAAGTCAGCATGAGTTTGCTCCAGGAAATGAAGGCTCGTAGAGTTATTGAAGGAACATACACATTTGAGATAATCGGCATAAAGAAATGATTGATAATGCTTAACTGCCTATGAGATATCATTTATTTACGGCAGGAACAAAAGAGGATCTGAAACGGTACCTTGTAGGACACCGCTTACAATAGGGCTTTCACCAGAAAGTGAAGACCCCAATAAAAACGTTTGTTTACGACTAGACAGGTATGACTTGATAAAGTCTATTTGGGAATTGCAAATTCCCGGAGCTTCTAATTTATCCAAAAGTCTTTTATGTAATACTTTATCAAAGGCCTTACTAAGATTAAAATAAATAACGACAATAGATAAGTGGTCATTACGAAGAGAAGTAAGTAGATTGAGAAACGACAAATGACATGTTTTACAAGAGCGATCTGGTAAAAAAACCATGCTGGGAAGGCCTAATAACTTTATTGGTTATGCAAAAGTCCGTAATTTTAAACACGATAATTTCTGCAAAGGTTTTAGCGCGAGAAGGCGTTTTATGGGCACCTCGATAGTTCTGAACGTCAGAATAACAGCCAGACTTACAAACTGGAATAATAGTAGAAGTCTTACAATAGTCAAGAAAGACGTAATTGACGAGAAATGTTGAAAATAGTTTGCTACACAGAAAAGGAATATTTCCTATTTCAAGGATAGAATAAGCAAACTGAGCTTGACTAGTTTTTCTGGATGAGACAGGGTTTTAAGTCCGTCTGCCAGTTTTGTCGTCTGTCGTTACACCCGCTCGATTAGGTCGCTGTCTTTCTTTATTAATAGTTTCCATTCTGGCCATTCACGTTCCGGGTGTAATTTTACAATCATGCCTGCGATCTGCGCAAGGAGATCAGAAAAAAACATAAAAGTACGTCAATTCAGTTCATGGTGCTCCTGCCATTTAAACGATTCTTTGCTGTCTTCTGAGGACCGCACGTTACAACCGGCCCTGATACCTAGGCGGTTGTGTGTATTCGACCAGCTTCCAATCGTAAGACAAAGTATTCGGATACACGAAACGCTGGAAGTCACCTGGTGGACCATGCAGCCATGGTGTCAATGTTCTCTTTCATTTTCCGTAAGTCACAAACACGGCTGATTGTTTTCCGGATATTTGTATCGTCCATAAACTCCATGACGTCGCGGTCAAGATCTCAGGACGAGAGAAGAATTGTGGTAAGTTTTGGGAAGGGGCGTCGTCCACAGAGAAGGAAGGGCGCCGGCTGTTTTCACAGATACGCAGTTTCATAATCGCGGATACGATCGGAAAAATTTTCACTTCATTCAAGTAACCCAAAACAATTCTAGGACGCAACATATATACTTAATATATTCAAGATGCTTGCAAATATAAGCAGACGTGTAAGTATTTAAGAGCATTTCTAGGAAAGTCTGTACGAATTGGAATTATAAGTAGCGTATAAGAGCGGGACAACATAAATCCGACCGTAGTCGAGAGTCCCTTCTAGGGCGCAGCTTTATTTGGGAAATTAGGAAACGACTTACAGCGATAATCTATTATTTAAGACCACAGCCAGCCTCTGCCTGATGCCTTCGAAGCATTTTATCCCTGCCAACAGCCCCGATCTAAATGTCATCCAAAATATTTGTGCACTAATCGAGAAAATTTTACCAAGTCACGGAAACAAACTTCTATGGAGCAGAAGTTGGAATTTTTGCTAAATATTTACGTAGACCAAACCACCATAGACAACTTGGTGGTCTCCATACCCTTCCGCCTTGCAACAACTTTAAAAGCTTAAGGACAATCAAGAAAGTACTAATACGTTGTACTTGTTAATGCTTTTTTTCAGTTTTTTTGTTGTTTTGTGAAATTTCCCTTCTCTACTGACAGCTATATTAGACCCTGAATAGTTGGCATGTCATACAGTCGATTTCTTGATTTGGTGGTTTTTTCTGAAATAAGTTATTTCTGAGTCAGTAAAAAATACTTTATAAACCAAACTATGCCTTGTTCTGAAGCTTGGTCGTATCTCACTCTCGTGGGCGCCGCATTGAGTTAGTAACCTGGGATGGTCACATGACCTCCGGCCGGCCTCTCTCCTATTTCCCGCCGGCATCAGCTGTCGGCAACACGTGACTTTGCTCGACTGCCCTGGTAGCTTTGTCCGCACTGACCCGACCCTTGTGCGTAGCGCCTGGTAGGGGGAATGCAGACCTGTGGCTCTGTTAAGTGTTCCATTTGAGGACCAACTTTCGAGCATCAGTCTGCCTACCTTATCATTGGCTCGGCCGATTACCCTTGTGTTCTCAAAGGCGAAATTGTGGTTTTTCTGTTGTACGTGGCCATAAACCATAGACAGCTTGTCCTTACGGTTGACTGCAAGCTGGTGTTCATGCAATTTTGTGCCAAGACGCTTGCCCGTTTCACCAACATACCTCGCATCACAATTTTGGCACGGTATGCTTTAGAACACCGCTGATTGTTCCCTTACTGGTAGCGGGTCTTTGGGCCTCCTTATTTGCTGTCTTATTGTTGACTCTGGCTTATGAGCCACACCGATCAATAGCGGCTTCCGGGTTCTTCCCGTCGCCTTTGATGCGTTCTTCACATAAGGGATCGCAAGCCAAAACTTCGAGTTTTGTCCGTTTTACCGCTCAAAGTGCGCCTTTCTAAGGCACTTACGTATGAAGGACTTCGGATAACCGTTGGCTTAAAATAGTGCGCGCAAGTACTTTATCCCCTCCTCCCTCTATTGTCGTCGCTGCAGTGTGTTTGGACGCGTTGGAAGAGGGTACTGGCACAACTGCGTTTGTGACCAACGGAGTGGTTGCTTCTGAGTTGGGGGATTCGCCTGGTGTTAGTTGCCATGAGATAGACCGTTGTCCTTATCTTCCCGTCCTCCAGTTTTGTCACTTGTACGTCAAGGAAGGCCAACTGATTGATGAGCTCCTCTTCCATAGGAAACTGGATGTCGGAAAAGATTGAATGCAACAGTGACTTGAAAGTCTGCACGTGAATTACTGTATAGTCGGACCGACTTGCGAAGCTTCCACCAGGCTCTGATGACAATGTCAAGGTGACGGGAGACGAGCTCGTAGCGTCTAAGTTGTGAGTACACTCAAAGCGTCATGATCCCTAATAGTAATGGAATACGAGTTGAGCTCGACCACGTCAAGGTTGGCACATAATTGGTCGTCGGTTGGTCATGGACTCATGCTCTCCTCCCCCATGGACAAAATTCGCGTATTGTGGTTAGTTGATCCACCGATTAGAACTTGGATCGAGCTTGAAACGGCGGTCACTTTCGAGCTCGATCGATCGAATTGCTGAGCCCTAAACGGACTCCATTTCGATTTGATTTGTCGTCAGGAGATAATCGCAGCCAAATACCGACTACGTGTGCCACGCACTGTCTGGTTCTCGCAAAGGATGAAAGACATCGACCTCCCGCTTAAAGTCACATATGGAATCTCTTTCCAGCAAAGTAGGGCATGGGTTTGACCTCGATGTAGAGGTCACGAACCGAGGAGATTGACACATGACAGAGAATGTCTTCACGAGAAAAGGACGATGAGACCGACTGGTGCCAAGTACAGCTTCTCCGCCTGGCCGTTGAATCTGTCTGACTTAGGCCGACCCCGCCGCTGTAACCGCATTTGGAGGGCTAGTCCCACGGTGTCGACAGAGCCACGGAGACACCCACATCATTCAACTCTTGATTTATTTCCGAAAGCTTGTTTCACCACCGACAGAACTATGCATGAGCATGTAAAGGACATATCAGTATGCCGACATCGCTTGAAACAGCGCACCCGACCTTGAAAAGTTTCGAGTCGCAGAAGTTTCCTTAGTATCGACTGTTGGCTGCCATATTTGGGTCTCAAAACGGTTTGTTTGTGTAATTTTGGGGAGTTCAACATTTCTTGTCAGTGTTGCCGGTGTGTGCGACGAACATACTTTTTCAAATCCCACTATGTGTATAAGTATATATCACAAATAAAAACACTTCTGCTCATCGCTCTACGCTCCTCACCACCATAACGGATGTTCAAGCATGTCGGCTCATTGCGCTTCAGTTTTTTTGAAATTTCGGATCCGTTATGGAAAGGCTTGTCGTCCTCTGACGGGGCCAGCCTTTTGCATACTGTAATTATCTTAACGACCTCTTCCCATTAATTCAACTTACAACAGAGGGAGAAGGGCAGGAGTGTGGTTTACGCCCGGGGTCACTTACTTCGGGAGCAGTTTTGTCGAGGAAAAGAGTTGAACATCCAAAAACTTTGTGGTATTACAAATTCTGATCCCCCATACTGTCACCAATCAGAGGGGGACACTTTTTTTTCCATTTAATGGCATTTAGGCAAAAGTAATCGGTAATAAACGAACAGGAGTCTGAAACGTCAAATGAATGGACCTCTTTATCCTGCAATCGGATCTGCTCACCCGCTAAGTTTACTACCACACATAGGTGTTTGCGCCATTCCGTGTTTTCGCAGACTGCTTAACGTGGCCAAAGGTCAAAAGGTCACGCGAGACACTGACGGCGATTATCGCGACCAAATAGACGGGCGCAGGTATCAACGTTGCTTCTACACATGCACCGATGACTCACACGAAGCCGGGGGGTGGTGGGGGGCAGCCCTCTGCTGTATTTGACCCTCTAAACGACGCATGCTACTCACTGCCTCCACAAGGCTAACTCTACCCAGGAATCACCTGGTGTTGAATTTGGTGTACGACCGGAATTGCCGAGTTGAAAATTCTTGCCTTAAGCAAGCCCCTACCTTTCCCCCGTTGAACTCTGCTTATTCTCCTGGGTTGTCTTGTTTTAGTAGCCGACGGTAGTCTAGGTGGACGTAGGGCAGATGACACAGGTCGGAGAAGAGGAAGCGGTGAAGAAGACGGTTGTGAGCAGCGTGCGAGATCCCGTTTTTCTCAGTTGCTCTGCCTAACACCCCATCCGCCCTACCTCATAATGGAGCCAGGGATGTCGTGGGGGCTAGTTAGCCGACATGGCTCGCCTGCAGCTGTTGATCTATTCGGCATTCTGGTCTGGTTTTGAATGTGGGGTAGTTTCCTTTTTTATCCTTTTGAGATTTATCTAGATCCAAGCTTTTATCGAGTTTTTCTCGCAGAATCCATGGCGCTCGTAAATTACTTTAGGAGGGGGTAGTTGACTTACACTAAGTTCCGTCATATCCCCAGTCGTTGCGTGGAGCAGAAGACAGACAGGACTGCGGCAATCACTGTGTGTACACCAACTTTCAATCCTTCTGTCCATAATGTCGTTTTTAGAGGTCTTGTCACTGCGTGTTCCTATTGGCTAAGCTCTGATCGCCCGCATGAACAGACCTTCGCGCGTCGCTGACCCCCCCCCCCAAAGGTCGCGCTAATTGATGAATCATGCGCGGGTTTCGTGGACGGGACTGACTTGCGGTTTGGCGGTTCCCTGCCCCGCGTAACAGTCGGACGACAACACTGGCGCGTCTCGTTCAGGGCATCCTTCACAATTTCCTTAGTATGATTTTATTCAGAAAGGCTGCCTTATCGACTCCGAATGTTGGTTCTGTTTAATGGCATTCTTCTTTTTTTTCCTAAGTAACACCTACATCATATATTTCAGGCGCAATGCTTGCCACCGATCTGTTTGTCGAAAATACAGAAACAGATTCGTCCGCCGCCCCCAAACTAGCCTCTTCACAAAACTCGGCCCAGAAGAAGACCGTAGCCGACGTCTTCAATGATATTAAGTTGACACGGTCGCCTGCAGTTATAGAACAGGTGAACGCAACCTTTGCCTTCAAACTGTCAGGTGGGTAGCCCTTAACTCCAATTGTTCTGAATAACTTTTGGTGCAGAAATCTGCAACCCTGCCGAGACCGTTCGTAACACTTTTTAGCACCTTCCACCCCCCCCCCCCACTGCCATCTGTCTCTCTCCTTTTTTCCTTTTTCATCCTCTTCGTCCCTCAAACTCCACCTTCTTCCTTCTGCTGCCGCTGCTCCCCCTCCCTCTTTCGTCATAGCGAATCAGTCAACCAAAAATCTGCCTTCGAGTCGTATGTGAATTTCGTTTAGTGATCTGTCCTGATTTCAGGAGGGAAGTGAACATTTGCGCCTTGCCCAGGGCTCTGGGTTCGGAACACCTGTGTGTGTGTGCGGTCGCACAGAGGTCTGTAGTCTCAGAGACGCGGAGACCGAGGTTCGACTGACAACAATCGGTGAGCCAGAAATGGCCGCTTTAGTCGCCTCTATCTCGGTCGTCAGCATTTCTCAACATGCTTTTGATTATTAGCTGCTCCTCAGACCCCGGTTCAGTGGGGCGAGTTAAACGGAGCGAAAAGCAACCAAGCTCCGGTGACTTCTAGGAAGGAGTTACTCATATCCTCAGCGTCTCAATGTGCTCAAGGCCGAAGTACACGGTCCCGGACAGTCCCAAAAGTCGTTCATTGAGTATCCTGACGTTTTGGGAGTGCACAGGTTGAGTAGTGGACCGTTTAGACAAAGGGAGAGCCTTCTTGGTCTGATATCACCAGAAAAACGTAGGGGGGTTAGATTGCTATCGTTATGATGCTACCGCTGCCGTAGACAGACCGCCAGTAAGTCACCGATTACTGCGCATTCGTCGCTGGTGTTCGATAACTGTTTCCCCGACCTCGCTCTCAATCACCTTTGTCGGTAGGCTGCCTGTACCGCCCCTCCCGCGCCTGGGCATTTTTGCAGCCCAACAGGCAAAGGAAATTCGTTGCGCCTACCATGATGGATCGGAGCGTCATGACTCACAGCAGAGCCAGCGACCCCGTACACTTCCTCAACTACTACTCATAACTTCCTCTCTTCGCATGCCTTTGCCAGCGTCCAAGCTGTCGTAATCGAGAACAGTATTCAAATCACAGGTTAGACGGAAATATAACCATCCCACCTTCTGGAATTATTCCCCAGACCGAACTGTATCCCGTGAATGCGGCAACCTTGCGCAGCACACCGACCTCTCCGTTGAATGCTGTTCATAATGTCTTGAAGAAGGAGACACGATCGTTGGGACGGGAGCTTTATTGGCCTGACGTTTCGGATTCCTGCCTGCTGTTCATAATACCTGTGAGAACGGTATTAACAGAACCAACCTCTCAATAGTGTCGTCCCAAATTAAAGCGTAAATTTCCCTAACAGCTCATTTCCTATTTGACCCCGAATCCCTTAACCATTTAGCAGAATGTCTACCATACCACTATATGTAAATCCCTATGGTGTTGCGTGGAAAGGTACCATGTTCTCTCTTTCTGTGGCCTTATTTCGTACGCTGTTATCGGGCAAATAATTACGGTAAGCATATTTTCAATTGAAATGTTAAGTTGGCAAACGCGTGTTTTCGGTAATTCTTCGTCAGGCCTTACAGTTACATGAAGGAATGAAAATGTACAAAATCAACAGTGTTTATAGAGATCTCAAGGGCTATTAAGTCACTAACACTCATCATCCCCACGCCGCCCGCATTAGAAGGCCGGCGGGTGTTAGTCGTCAGAGCTAGGGGAGGGGGTAAGAGAGTCTTTGAGTGATGTTCTTGGGTTGAGTACACGGAGTACCCATCACTTTAATTAGGGATTTGAGGCGGCATGTCGTCATCACTTGAGGTCGGCGTTTCCCACGACAGAGAGAGCGCTTGTGTCAAGGTCTTCTGACAGCATAACACCCGATTCGCTAGCCGTATAGACACTGCTTCGGCCGTTGCTAGTATCAGTTGGCGTAGGCCTTTAGAGAAGCTTGTTGGTGTCCGATAGACAACCTGAAATGCTTCCTTGACATCGACTCGGTGATCCTCTGCCTAACCAGGCGGGCATATGTTCACGCACCCTCTTTACCAGGCGTCTCGTTGTGCGACCGATGTATCCCGCTCCACAGGAACAAGTGAATGAGTAGATGCACACTCATGTGGCCTCCAACGGTAGTCTGTGTTTACGACCCAAACGTAGGAGGGGAGAGTTGTAAAACATACGCATAAATTTGTCGCGGGGAATTTTATTGTGTCATCATTGGTGTAGATAGCCAGGTTTCGGTTGAACCACCGTTGTCCAAGGAAATTAATACAGCAAACATGCTGTCTAAAGTGTCCTTTTCGAGCTCGATGGCCAAATGCAGACGTCCACCCAGCATGGGTAAGTAGCGACCATGTAAGCGTGAATTTCATGGTGGGTGGTTATATTTCACTCCTGCCAAGTCCCACCACCCCGTATGTGGTCTAACCTTGCCGTCCGTACCAATCTGCAGTTGTTTCGAAATTGTCTTTTCACTGTAAGAACGCTGTGGATGTATGAGTGAACAGTGAGTGAGGTAGGATACCTCCACGCTCTTCTTCGCCATAGGCAAATTTCCCCACCCAGAAGATAGTGGTGGGCCTTGTCACCTGCGGCAGTCGAACTTGTCAGTCTCTATATAGCAGCGTAAGCAAAATCGACGCCAGTACAAACTCAGAAGATAATTGCTCTATGGACGTCGGCAGCGCCCTCGCCCCAGGCCATCGGTCATGGCCGATGCGCGACCCCGGACGAGGAACGCCAGTTGCCGCTGGCATGCCTGGCCTGCCGCAATCACGGTTAGATGACCTTCGACCACTAGTCGACTTTCGCCCATCAGCTCTGGCGTTTGCTTTTGAGAGTCGTCCAACCGTCCCACATCCACGTTGCTGGCGCTCGATGGTTTCTAGGGTTCCCTAACTTATGGGGTTGATTTTCCTTTTCCTGTCGCCAGACCACATCAATAACCGTCGATCTCATGTGGTTCTCAGATGACAAGGCGTGCTCTTGTAGCCAATGCGGCGGAGCATTGGACTTAGGAATGCCCTATAATCCACTGACTCGGATTCAAATCGCAGTTGACCGCCTAGAATAGAGAGTTTGAATGGCTGTCGGCGTCAAGTAAGACCATTCCAGTCTCCAGTTCTTTTCGACCGGTGATTTCATCGCAAAGCGACCATCTGCCGTAGACTGTAGACTACCAAGGCAGGATGCAACCGCCTTTATTTTGCCTCGTAATCTGAACGTGTCCGTCAAAGCCACTCCCGTGTAATCCAATTCATTGTCCGAATCGGCCCACCACTACCAGTTGAATTTATGCTATCGGCAGCGCACACGCGGAAACGGTGGGTTTGCGGATTCCGCATCGTTGGGCTGATAGAAGCAAACAGGCGTGTTCAAGGAAGCAGTCCAGAGGAATAAGATGCAATCGCTGGAACGAGAGGTTTATTGGCCTGACGTTTCGGATTCTCACTCAGACTCTTCCTCAGTAACAGTCGCAGAAAAGAGTACAAGAGCTACAAGGTGCACGGTATTTCTAGGACGCGGTTGCCAGGCAACCACACGCCTACTATATTTGGAATCACTCTTGTTAATCTCTGGGGCTCGTAATTGATGCGATGACTGTTTTTCGGTCCGTAACCGAGTTGTTTATTGCCGTGATTTCATAGCTCTTATCAATTCTTGGCGTGAAGATTTCTCAGAAATTTGGTTCACCATCACTCGCATCCTCCCCGCCATTATGCTTGTTAATTTGATACGGTCCGTAGAACCATGACTGCTATTTTCGACCTATCTGTGCATTTTAGAGTCTTTAAAAGGCCCACATTTTGCTTGATTTGAACGGCTGTTGCGGAATCGCGAACCTCACGATGTTTACATCGACTATATGTGTATCCCGCTCGTTTTTATGCATGTTTTCTGCCTGCTGAGGCAACTTAAGTAACCACATCAATCTCCCATTATACTACTTTTTCCACCTTCTTGTACCGGCTTTATAATTCTTCTTGCTTTAACAGTCCAGCAAGACTGTCTCCCGACAGTTCATCTTCTACCTCTTTAGGAAGTGAACCAGGTGTCTGGCTTATCAATCTGAAGTCACTGAGTGGCGAAGTAAAGAAACTAGAATCGTCAGTAGACGAAGCCGCCGTGGACTGTTCCTTTGAGTTGCCTAGCGAGGACTTTATCGCCCTCTTCAACAGCACTGCATATACATCGGATCTCTTTGCCGCGGGAAAATTAATCATCGAGGGAGACCTGACCGCTGCGCTCAGGCTTGACAAGCAACTCACACAGTTGCGAAAGGCCTAGAGATTTAATGACCAGGGTCTCTGTCTTCTTCTCAGGGATAGAGAAAGCCTCAGGGACACTGTCTTTTCGTCTTTGGTGTTTGTTAAAATGCTACTTTTCGAGTGCCTTTTTGTTAACCGATCTAAAAAATACGCATTGGTTGTTCTACTCACATTGTTTTAGTAGCTTGTATAACTACTATGAACGTATGTCGGTTGCACGCTATGCGAGACCCGACAGAACAGGTACTAGCTAAAAGCCCAGACGCCTGTTTCGCAAATATTCTGCCGTTGCATGACAAAGTTGCGAGGGGTTTGGCTCGGCAGTAGATTTCAGAGGTGAGATTTGATGTCTCTCCAATGCCGCTTTCTTTGCCGTTTTAATCTCACTAAGGCAAACCTATCCCGCAAGTTTGCTTCTGCACTGTCAGTGACTCCCTTCCGTGTCCCGATGGTTTCACCGACCGTCAGACGCATGGCGAGACCCCAAGATACGGCTTTGGCCCGATTCTATGGCCTCCCTAAGGTGCACAAAGACGGCGCTCCTCTCCGACCCATCGTGTCGCTCAAAGGGACTCCAACGTACGGACTGGCGAAGTGGCTGTTCCGGCGTCTCAGGTTCCTGACCGCTGAGTCAGACACCACGGTCTCTTCGACAGCACAATTCCTGGAGAAACTCAAAGGGGTAAGCATCCATCCAAATGAGGTCATGGTATCTTTTTATGTTACATCCCTTTTTACTTCTATTCCCCAGGACCTGGCGATCGAGACAATTGAACTGCTATTACAAAGCAAATACGATGAAACGGAGAACCGTCTTGGACACGTCCAAATCCTTCAGCTCCTGAAGCTCTGTCTCAGGACGTACTTCACGTTCGACGGGACAATCTACGAACAGGTGAAGGGCACACCAATGGGTTCGCCGATTTCGGGATTTATCGCCGAGGCGGTCCTGCAACGGTTAGAGTCACTGGTCTTCCAACACCACAGACCGAAATTCTGTGCCCGGTATGTAGATGATACCTTCGTCGTCATCGAACGGGATCAGGTGTTGACATTCCAAGAACATCTCAACGCCGTCTTCCCGGACATTCAATTTACGATGGAGGAGGAAGAGAACAACCAGTTGGCCTTCCTGGATGTCCTCGTATGCCGCAAGGATTGTGGTGGACTAAAGACCAAAGTGTTAAGGAAAGCGACAAATACGATGCAAGTACTGAACTTCAACAGTAACCACCCAATCAGCCACAAACGCAGTTGTGTAAGGACGCTCTATCGGCGTGTCGAAACGCACTGCAGTGAGCCGGAAGACAAAACTGCTGAACTACAATACCTCCGACGGGTCTTCAAAGCCAATGGCTACCCGCGCAACTTCGTCGACCGGTGCATACGCAAAAGGGACGAAAGGCCTAACCGCACGGACACCAAGTCTTGGCGGGCACTTCCGTATGTCAAGAACGTTTCGGAAGCTGTCGGCCGCCTTCTCGCACCACTTGGGGTTGGAGTGGCACACAGACCGGAGGCAACCATCAGGCGTCTGATCATGAAACCGAAAGACCCACTGCCATGGCTAGAAACGTCTGGAGTCGTTTATCGGATCTGGTGCAGTTGCGGACAAAGCAACTACGTCGGAGAAACCGGAAGACAGCTCCGAACGAGAATGGCCGAACACGCGGCAGCGGTGCGCAGAAATGACGCCAGCTCTCAAGTTGCGGCTCATTCTACGAGATCCGGCCACACATTTAAATTCGATGAGGCCGAAATTCTCGCAAGAGGTGATAACCGAGTGAGCCGAGAGCTACTGGAATCATGGTTTACTGGCCCCCAGTCTATCAACAAGTGCAACGATCTTCCCATTCAATACAGCGTGCTGAGACTTCGTCTAGGCGGAGTAATTGGCCACGCGGGGAGCGCACTGGTGAACACTCTTCCCAACACCCGGGCCAACGCATCAGATGGTCGAGCAATCATCACGCCAACATCCAACGCACGTGATGAAATTGCGGCAATTATCGACTCGAATGTCGGCCATCAAGCAATGATCACCCCAAGTGTGACAATCCCGGATGAAGGGGGAAGCCGTGAACGTTCATAGGCAGGCGGTAGCATGGCTGCTGCATCCTATAAATACCGCAGCCCCTTGTGCAACAACCACCCGTTTCTGCTCTTTTGTCTCTGATGATGGATTCAAGTAGGAATCCGAAACGTCAGGCTAATAAAGCTCTTGTCCCGGCGATCGTGTCTCCTTCTTCAAAATGGAACGCCCTGCCTGTGGATGTCGTCATGTCCTCATCCGTGGACTCATTTAAGAGAAAGCTTGACCAGTACAGGGATATGTACCTCCACAGCATCAGAAACAAACGAATTTCCCCCTGTGCCACCCGTCCCACCCAACGTTTTATGTTACAAAACATGCTACTCCCTATGTTTAAATAACATTACGTTTTATAATTTTCGCTATCTCCTGGCCGCCACATATGCGCTTGCTTTGATATTACTTGGTCCATTCAGTACCGTGTTGAATATTGTACAATTTTGACATAGAAGGCATTCACAGAGAAATTCATGCCAGTGATCAATGCTTGTTGTATGCAATTACTTACCTAATTATTTTCACACTTGCCTTACATATTGTTTTTTTATGACGTTATTGTAACCAAAAGGGAGTTCAAAGGCTCTCGCCTACTTTTTCCTTAATAAATCTGATCTGATCTGAGCTGAAATAACATATGAATACGGCATGGATGGTCTGGAAGTGTGCCTCGTGTCATCACTGGCTGACTGACGGACTTGAACGGTCGACAGGTGTACCGAACAAGGGGCGCGAGAGATGGAACGACTGTGCAAACCGCATTCATTACCGTTATCGAATTAGCGTGCTTGAATCTATCACGAACTATAAATCGCGAGTTGGCAGGTTGCCAGCATCAAGAGTTCTGCGAAGCTAGACTCTGCCCAGCGGTCAAACCCCGGGACTCGCTTTGATCGGCGGACTACACTGAATGAGGTCGTCTTGTGTAATGTGCCACCCATCAAGTAATTCTGTGCCTATTCGCATTCGTACCTTTTCTAAAAATGAGCCGTACTTTAGTCCAGGAGCCGTCTTGGATACCTGAAAGGACTAATTTAGACACAACACCAACGTGGCGAACAACACCACCACCACCACCACCACCACCACCACCACCACCACCACCACCACCACCACCACCACCACCACCACCATCATCATCATCATCATCATCGCCAGCACCACCGCCACCGCCGCCGCCGCCGCCGCCACCACCATAATCATCATCATCGCCATCGTCGCAAGCGACGAAGAGGTCTCTAATCTAGCCCATTCGTGTTGCCATCTGCATGTATACATCATACATTATTCTGACCTGTCATGTGCGAATCCATCGCACAGAGACGAGTGAACTAATGTCTGGGGCACCAACATATACCCAACGCACCCGCCTTTATTGTTCACACTGGTCGCGCGCACATTCATGCAAACCTGTAGTACAACATCGCCGGTACAACATCCCCACCAGCACATGCATCGCGCACGAAACTGTCCCCACCATCCCCAAAAGCACGGAATCAGTGCCCTTTACGTAAGTGGGAATCGCGCTCTTTGGTCCCTTCTCCGTGTGGCCTCCATGCCAGTCAAACATGCGAGTTCCGAGCAGTCAACCTTTTTGCGAAATCCCTGTGTGTTGTGGAGTGTGTGGACTATTTATAGCAGTGTCAACCACAGCTCCCAATCCCCGCATCGAATACTTGATCGGCTTAGATGTTTGACTGCAGTGCACTTGAGCTGACAGCTTCTTGGATTCCAGTCACCGTAATTCTTGCATGCGAATGACGATATATATTTTTAATGCAATACCATTTCGATGTGTTTAGGTGGCATTCTGTCACCAGTAACGGTAAACCCTTTGACAATCTGCTTCATTTCTGCAAAGTTGACGACACCAGAGCAGCTAAGCGCGTCTGCGTCTTTGAAATGCCTCATGAATTTCTGGCACAACACTTAGTCCCATGTAGGTATGTAGGTATTTTTGGAGGGGTACAGACGGAGTACTTGAGAACCCTATTAATGTCCACTTACTTTTTACATATTCAGTCAATATAACATTGTAAACAGTTCCATTTGTGTTCGAGTCAAAATGCAACACTATCAAAATGATTGTTGCTATTCGGCATGAATCAGCGCAAAATAAGAGTTGACCACAAAATGTTTTACAGGACTAACTACAAGTAGTCATGTCGTGAAAGAGGAGCTTTGTCGGAATGCTTGCAATCAGGACTCGTCTTTCTATCTTTCGCTGACACCTACTGAGGTGTATGTCCACAAGTGTTCTATGCACTATTTCAGCAGAGATCCGAACTGCATATCAAGGTGTTTTTAATATTACAGATCGATTTCTAACGACGCCCACCTTTACTTGACCGAGCCGTGAATATTGAATGCCTTGGTAAACCCTGCACGGTAGATTCCATTATTTGAACATGTTCAGAAGAATTCCGCAAATCTCTAGAAAAAACCGTTGAGTCAGAAACACCGACTTTTTGACTAGCATATCGTAGCTTCCTGTGAGTTGATACAAATAAGCTTCTCCAGCTTTGCATTTTCTTGTCAATCTTTCAAAAGGAGGCCTATTTTAAGGAAGCTCCTAAGAAAACGAAAATCTGATTAGCATTTACTCCTTTCCCTCCTTAGAACAGTCTCGTAATGATAGGTAAGAAGGAAGCTGACGGGAATCTTAGATTGAGTTTGGCTCATTGCCATATACAAATCGAAAAGTAGGGCAAAATACCTAAACGAACTAAATGGTCATCAAAAATATGGAATGCTTGAAGATTCCAGCTTCCAAAGGAATGACACTCTACAGGGGGTTGACGGCAGTTCTTAGGTAACTGGGTAGGGTGGCCGATACTCAGATCTGTAGGGTACGCCACTAGCATTCTCATTCGCCTAAAAAACAACAAAAGAATGGTAATTTAGTGGGGTGATGCCTTGTGTGTCACGTCGAAATATTCGGTCACATAAATAACTCCTTAAGAATGCTAAATGCTCTGGTGCTCATTTGCTTGACGAAACACAAACGTATTAGCCGATCTGTGGTCAGATCAAGGGCATCGTTAGTGAGTGGTTTGCAAGCGGGCGGAATTTTAGAAGATGGCGAATATAATTAACTCTACGCAAAGAATGTCTGCGCGCAAACAAAATCGAAGCTGCTATCCGCACACACACACAGTTGATATTTTACAGCGGCGTGGCCGGCAGCATGATTTACCAGGGCATTAAACTGCCAAACGAGGCTAAGGTGGAGGAGATTGTAAAATAGACTTTAATTAAAACAAACGAAGGTGCCCATGCACAGTTATTGATGATGTCGTTCACATACACGTTGAAACGAACGTGCATTACTGTGGACACTTTCACCTGGGCTGGCATATTTACCTATCACCCGCATACTCTCCCTCATTTACACAGCTCAGTCCCTGTGTAGGACCCGTTATCAATCATCCCATCTGATTACCCCGATAACGTGAACGGAAGGACTTAGTTTAGCTTTATGTAAGATTTATTTTCGACGATGCGCGTTTTGGTGATAGGGGATTCATCCGTCAGCCAGGATTGGTAGTAGGCGAACCGCCGACCACACGAGGGTTAATTGAATGCTTTGTTAGGGGGTATCAGGAGGATGCAATAAGTGTAATTTATTTCGGGTGGCTTGATAAGGTCTGACCTGCGTCTTCAAACGAACTGTAGGACAAATATCTTGTACACAGAGGATCGGAAATATGACAGAAAAACTTGAATTCGCTCAGTACTGCAGTAAGAAATCGTACTTACAATTCGCAGATGACATACCCTTGGGAAAGATCTGTCATTTTCGCATGTGTTACGAGGAATGTTCTCGCTCATCCCAACGAGTCTGTAAGAGAAAAAGAAGATACCAGTAAGGTTCATGCACTTGGACATTGCCTTTCCCTAGGATATTCGATTATGGAAGCGTGAAACCCAAAAAGTAGGCTCCCCGAGCATACAACTTCCTTACCTTTGAATAAGAGCCTCCAGTTCCCTTTCTTTTGCAATAAGCTGAAAATACGAATGACGAATTATTCTACAAACTTCTGAAAAGAAAGAACTTCTCAGTTTGCGAAGTATCTTTCCAAAGGGAACTTTCAAATGATTAAATGTAAATGACTGTAAAAAGCGTTATTTCAGGTCCAAATGATTCCAAGTAAAGCAAATAACAACAGACCAACAGGAATAGATAGTAAATTAAAACCTGCCTACCTATGAAGAGTCAAAGGTACAAGACAAGGCTTTCATCATGAATGGGACCCTTGAGTAACCCAACTGACCATGTTATTAGAATTTTAGCGTAAATTTCTGCACATTGCATGGGTCATGTCACCTACTGTAAGCATGTGGGAATGTTCCCGAGGCATAATTTGTGCACAAAGAACAGAATAGAAACACCAGAAAACAAACCCTGAAGTTTATTTTGACCCGTCAGCGAAAACCTTGGCAACCTTGTTAGAATTTGAACTCACGACCGTAAGGGAAATGCTTGAGTACGGCCAACGCTCCGACCACCTGAGCTACCAGACCCCGCCCGGAGCCGTGAGTTTAATCCCATTTGGATCAAGTCGCCCGCCCGGCCTACTACAACGTATGAAATCGAACAAATCCGGTACAGTAATCTGACTGCATAAGCAGGATTGCCTTAGCAATCAATCTAGAATCCCCCAGATGTCTACCAGGCTCACTTAATTAATGTGTTTTATCAGATTGAATAGTTTGTTTTGACCCATCTGTGAAGAACTCGGTCTCGTAGGCCGGGTGGCTAGAGCGTTAACTGTATTTAAGTAATCCCGTTGCTGTCGCAGGTTCGAATCCCAACGAGGTCACCGACTTTTCACCGTTGGGTTTGAATAAAGTATTCGAAATCTGCCAAAACACCTTTTAATTAGGTGCGTCTGGTAGTGGTCTGGTGGATTCTTGATTGATTACTTAGGGGAACCCGCTTGGGCAGTCAGTTCACTGCATCAGAATTGGTGGATTCCATACGTTGCAGTAGGCTGGGCGAATAAATTAACCCAATTTTTTTCAAACTGACGGACGCCGGTTGGTTCTCGGAGCTCAGGTGGCTAGAACGCTGGCTGTACTCAAGGCATGCCTTTGCGGTCGTGGGTTCGAACCACGCCGAAACGACCGCGTTTTTCAAGGAATTGTCAAATTAATCATTTAAAATGCGGCAAAACACCTACTAACGGCTTAAGTGTTTTTTTTTTTAAATCTAAAACATTTGGAACTCTTTATAATAAGTCAGAAAGAGAATCCTATTCTATTATATTATGTGAATAATAAACTTTCATTGGCCTTCGACTTTGTTGTACTTTTATCCAAGATGGAGCGGTTTTAGGTAGATCCTTCACCCAAAAGATATGCCAGTTCTTTTAGTATATCACCATGTATGCTTCAACTGTTTGAAAGCATTCCATCTCTCTGTCAGAGTCCTTAGGTGTTCTGTCATGTCAGCGCCAGCTTACGGCAGTAGGTTTCGAATCTTTAGCTATCTTGCACGATATATCGGATGAAAATTACAAAAGACACCTTATTTCACTCTCTTTCTCACAACAAACCACAACATAATGTCAGCCCAGAAGACGAAGATGCTATCACTGGAACAAGAAATTTATTGGCCTGACGTTTGGGATTCACACTCGAACCCATCATCAGTTAGTCACATATAAGACTAATGGTGGCGCAAAGAGTGCAGTATTTACAGCATATAGCTGCAGTGGGAACATATGCGCACTATAATTGACAGCTCTCGCAGTCACCGCTATGGGTCGTAATTGATGCGATGATGGCTTGTTGGTCCGCGTCCGAGCCGTTAATTGCCGCGATTTCGTCATCCCTGTTGGAAGCTGACGTGACGATTGCTCGGCACATTGGCTCACTGCCACTGGGATTAATGCTCGACCGCACCTACCCAACGTGACTGATCCCGCTGCCCGGAGAAAATCTCGACATAGAATACGGTAACGGGAGGCCATTGCGCTTGTTGATGGACGGCGGGCCTGAGAACCATGACTCGAGCTGCTCGCGGCTTACGCATTTGTCACTCCTTGCAAGGATTTCGGCCTCCTTGAAGTTGAAAATATGGCCGGGTCCCGTTGAATGAGTCGCCACCTGAGAGCTAACGTTTCCCCGCCTCACTGCTGCTGCGTGCTGGGCAATTCGCGTACGGAGTAATCTCCCAGTTTCTCCGAAGTAGTTACTTTGTCCGTAACTACATCGGATCCGATAAACGACTTTTGACATTTCCTGACGTAGCAGTGAGTCTTTTGGCCTCATGACTTGGCGCCTGATGGTTACGACCATTTCCCTTGTCTGCGACTATCTCTCATGATGGGCTCGAGTGAGAATCCTAAACGTCAGGTCAATAAATGTATTGTTCCAGTGTTCACATTTTCGTTTACTGAACTGCTTCCTGGAACTCACCTGTTCGATTCTATGGAGCATGTCAGTCGCTGACTGGCTTTTAATGAATACCATCCTCAGTCTACTATCTTTTCCTTCTTCGAGGATGCCGTTTTTTTCTGCTTTTAACTTATGTTAGGCCACTTTATTTACACCGCTGCATAGGATGTTGCAAGAGCACGTTAAGAAGTAAATAGCCAAAAGAGAAAGAACAATTACATCGCAGGTATTACGCCTTGTAAGGTTTGTATTCGTTTTGACTGATCCAAGTAGATCAGAAAAACTTCTGTCCCGTTCTTTCAGCTGGAAGAAGAAAGAAACTGCGGCATAGTAATATTTAAAAAAAATTCCGAATACCGCATCAAAAAGACTGGAGGTGTGATGCTTACCACTTGGACCATGGAGTCGCGCTCACTGGCCAATTTCATTAACTAAAACCAGTGAGTGAGGGTATGATATAGAGGATTGTGCTCGTGGAAATATCAGGCTAAAAGTTGGCTGGAAACTTTTGCAGGAATAGAGTGTAAACAAACAGAGATTAAAGACGTGGCTTACCAGTTCACGTTGGGTGGCATTCTCCCGTTCCAGGGCTTGGTACTGGGAGATCTCTTGTCTTAGAGCCGCCTGCTTCTGGGAAATTGCTCTTTAAGTACACAAAAAGGTAATTCAACAAGGAATAGTTTATTTGGAACCCGTCAGCACTACCTACTCTGAATTAAGTTGCTTGGGGAGAGTTCATTCATCAGAGCTTTGGCCGCGTAATTTGAAAAATGAAAAATGGGGAGACAGGAATCATAATAAATTAATAAACTGCCTAGTCGGCATTATGGAGTTCATTAATTGTCCTTATTGGCCTGTCTAGCATGGCTGCGTGGTCAATAAATAAACCAAGCACAAAAATAAGACCCTTTGCTGCGAAAAGCCTGCTTTCAGGTTATGGAGTTATGGATATAAATTCATTGAAACTATTGAAAAATAAGCCGGCGGCTGGTATTTGAACTATGGACCCATTGAAACTAGATATAATCTCCTCAGTAGGACGGAGTGACATTGACAGTACTTTTTGGATTCAAAAATCATACACTGGTGCCGAAAAAAAGACTTAGACGCTCCGCTAAGCGTGTGTTTACAAGAAGTCCGACGCGACGCCCCGCCGAGAGAGCCTTAAGTGGACGTATCAAGACGGTTGAAGGCTTGGAATCCATGAGACGGCTGAGTTTCGGGCGATTTACACGTTGTTCTGTTCCCAGAATCTGCGACATGCACAGCAGATATACGGAGAAAGCAGCCAAATTCACCTTACGTATTTTCAAGTGATGTCCTAGTCTCATTCGTCTCTGTTCTCTTTATTTCTGCAAACATTCTACTTATTAATGAGCGCGTGTCTTAAAGGAATGACCTTAAGGCAGTTTTATGTTTCCATTGTGTTGTGCTTTACGCTTCTTTTCAGCCCGGGCTCGCCTCCGGGTCGTCCTGAATCTGTGCTCCTACCGGGGCCAGGTGGATCAAGGGAGCGAATGCGGCAGACGCTGCGCAAGTCCGATATCCTCATAAACTAACGATCTGCGCCTACCTTGCTGTGGGATATGCCGTGAACATTCTCGTTAGTGAGTCGTTAGATGACAGAACCATATAATTTGTTTTTCGGACCATCTGAGACCTCGACAGCTCGACTTCCCTGCCTGCGAAAGATAGTCTTTAGTTGTACCCTGCAATCTCGTTTGGGTTGACAAAAATTGCACTAACTTCTTGTAGCGATTGATTGTATAAGCTTTATAAACGCCCGATATTGTTACAATTCACGTAAGTTGTGCGGCATTGCTAATAACGCATCTAGGAGTCAAATTATATTGCTGACAGGAATTAATAAATTAAAATTTAAAAGACGTGGGGAACGGTATTTAGACTTTAGTAACTATACCCTAAAGGATATCTAAATCTCTGAACTTCTGAAATTCGGCAAACCCGACCAATTAAACAGAGAAATTTGAGTTTGAAAACTGGGTTCAAATAAAAGCTCTACAGTTGCCTGATTCAATGCTGCACATCCTATAGGCCATAGGGAAAAATAAATCCCATGTGGTTCATGTAGAGATAGGTTTGTGGAAGCATCTTGAGTAGACATCTTTCTACCTCACAATCAAAGTCCGCCCAGCGTTGATCCACAAAACAAATCAAGCATGCACTTGGAAAGCATGGATTTGTTTAATTTTTAGTCTGTTTCCAGAAGGACTTTCATTATGCGTTTACGATCTCCCGGAACCTCCTGAAAAGCACTTTCGACTTCGAACTTACCTTGCCAGATCTTGTATTGAGTCCCCTTGCATTCGTAGTTTACTGCGTTCACGTTTCAATCGATCAATTTCATCCTCCAGTTCCGCGTTTCGTCTGTCACACTCTGCGTGGCTGACAGGCGAATTCAGAGCGGGCAGAGCATCGTACTGCTGTGGTACTGTTACGGGACGCGCAGGGGCAAGTGGTGGTGGACCTAAAAACCAAAAGTATGTGTACTTTACCTTTTTACGCAAAAGTTCCACATTTATTTTGCAGTACTGCTGTAAGAGCTCTTGGAGAAAACTACGAAGACATCTCGTTTCTGATTTTAGCCTTTCTCCGTTAGATGCCACCTCCACCTAGTGGATTCCGACTTCAGTTCCCCACCAAATCGTGATTATAAGTGACATTAAGCTAACCTAAACACATTCGACGCAGTACAGGACCGCTGCAGAGATCATAGGGAAGGAAAACGACTCCAGGAACCACTAGTCCATCGGCCAGAAGAGTACTGGCCACTAAACGGCTGTAGGAGTTGTGAATGTCCAACGCTTACTCAGTCGGACGACATATTCAACCACAGGCTGGAAATTTTATTGCTGAGTCCCCATTGCTTTTCTAATCCACATAGCGTCCCAGGAACGGGTTTAAAGGGATCCAAACTTACACGATAGGCTGCCGCCGCCATGGGAGCATTTGAGATGATGTAGTTCCTGGAATAAACGGCGGTTCTCGTTGAGGAGATCCTGGGCTTGGAGGACAAACTTCCGCCTAACAACAAAAAAATTAGATTTAAAATAATCGTGCCTTTTTAAACGTCATACACGTGGAATCTACAGTTACATAGGGCTCGCTGACATAAAGACAAGTAGACAAGAGTGTCTGCAGATTGGGGTACATCGAAGGATAAGAATACTGGTTATCAGCCGATGAATCTTTAAATATCATAATGAAACTCTAAAAACGACGAAGTGGGTTTTGACTTGTCTGAAAAACTACTGAGCTCTCAACTCTATCAAAACAAGCAAACGCCCGGCCACAGTGGAATGTGCTAACAGATCAGGTCAAGCCGACATAGCTGTCATCAATAATTCATTCACTGAAGGGAGACGGCTATAATAAATACCAATAAATGTCTGATTACCCAATAAGCGACCGGTCGTGCAAAGCGCTAAAAATAAAATGGTCGCTACTTTGGTGGAAATAAGTAGGTATTAGAAATTTTGCGTTCTTATGTCAAATATACTCAGATACGATTTAAGTTTGATTAGACAGTTATTCAGCGAGACCCACACAGCGTGCTACTTCACGAGATTCAGAGTCACGTGCGTTGTTGTCTGTTAGTATTTCATTTTATAAACGCGGTTCCTCCAAAAATGCTCTTGAAATCAGTCTCAGAATCATGAAACAGCTCCGGGCAAAAATGACGGAACGCTCTTTTAACTTCAGCTGCGAAACCAACCTGTTTCCAGTCTGACCATTACGGTCTGCATTAAATTGTCGGGTTGTGCAAAATACTCAGTTTCTGCTTTGCAATATTATTTCTTTAGCAAAAGTTACCTTTGAACAACGACAGAGTGTTCACTGAGCACGTTAAAAACTATCTGTAAGCGTCCCTCTACCATTGTACATTCCCGATCGCCATTGACAAGACAACGACCCGTGGCTCAGTGGTAAGAAGTGGTTGGACTTCTAAGTAACAGGTTGCGGGATCGGGCCTCGGGTGTTCCACAATTCGGAATTGGGTATGACCGGCTGACGACGGCTAAGAAGCCAGAAATGGCCATTCCAGTCTCCCCTGTCTTTGTCGGTAAAAACATTCTACGTTAAAAAAGTGCCTTTGATAAGTTATTCATTGATATTTTTTGGTGGATTCCAGACGTTGCAGTAGGTTGGGCGGATAACTTGACCCAAGTGTGATAAAACTCGCGTCGTCCGGCGGGGCCTCGTAGCTCAGGTGGTTAGAGCGTTGGCTGTACTAAAGCCTTCCCCCTTACTGCGTGGGTTCGAATCCCACCGAGGCGAAGAGTTTTTCACAGTTGGGTCAATATGAATTTGATAAGTTAAACATTCCAAGCTCAGGCAAATCACGCGTTGCGGTTTTGCGGGACGCTAGTAGATCGTTATTGTAGTTGAAAACCACGTGTAATGCCATATAATTTACGGTTTGCCTTTATGTTGCCCCTACAATTGAAAAACGTGAACCTGGACCGTTGGTGTCGACTGCCTTAAAAAGTACTTTACGCCTATGCACATTTAGCGGACTTTTCCCAAAGTAAGCGTCGTTTAGGCCTAATTCGTGTTACAACTAAACCTGTTTGTATGTCCAGAGAATAAGACGGAAAGGATCATATATTCGTAGAAGGCTATGAAATTCCCCACCGATTTTGAGTAAACAACATTCTGTAAAAAACTGTCAACATTTATGAAATTAAGGATGACGATTCTGGCAGGCATTGAAGCACTTTTCATGGATATGCTTGTCCTGCAACCCTGTTGGTTGAGTCCGCCTGTTAAATCAACCGCGAAATGCCAAGCCTAGTTCATCGGTATCTGCACTTTCTTTGTAGGCTGCCTGGTGTTGTGCCTAAACCGCAGAATTGAAAATCCATGAGTCCAGGAATAATACACGAGGTGATTTTATTGTCCCAGGTTAGAATTAGAAAATCCGAAAAAACTTTGAAGTGCGGATGGGCTTTAGACCTGTTGGCATGTATCTGGCAGTACTTTTACTGAATAGCATTGCTGGCAAAGACAAGCCATCAACAAGTCTTTATTGTCTTTGTCGGTAATGCTACTCTGCTATATCACGCGCCGCTGTGCAGCTTCTAACTGGACGAGTGAGTTCCGTAACGCGATCGGTGAGCGCCCTCCTGCTACAGTACTTTTATAACCGAAATTTCCTAAGTTAGCAAATAGAGGGCCCCGGTGATATGAATAGTAAACTGGATTAGTTAGCTCAGTGTGATATTCGAGGCTGTTGTGTTAGGGGACATGAGACCAGTCGCCAATTTTACGATGGTGGTGCTTTAGAAAATTATAAAACGTTAGTCTCCTGCCATGGTATCTTTCAGCCCCTCTGCGGACGATAAGGTAAGGGCCAGCACATGGTAGCTGGCCTACCTCAAGGGACGTATTTTCGATTAGAAACGATTACTTTGGTAAGTTTGTAATACTGGTCATCGTGCAACATGACCTGAAGATATTTCAGTCACTCAGGGATGTGGACTTTTGATTGAGCATCTTTCCACCCGCCTACAGAAAGGATACCTGCTAGTAAATGACTAATTATAAACCATAGATTTTTCCCATTAAATTCCGATGTCCTTGTCAAGTGAGATATGTTTCATAGGAAAAAATGCACAAATTATTTCCTCTCATGTTTATTGGGTAGAAAATCACGTCTCTTTCAAATTATGTACTCGAAGAATAGTTTCTTTAATTTTAAAAAGCTGGTTTTTATGAGGTTTTCTAAGACTGTAAAATTCCCATTCATAGGGCACTTTATCTGTCCCTTTATTAATAGTGCTTATGAAGCATGTAACATAGTTCGTCTACATCGTAAAATTATACGAGCCCCATAAGGCATCTTCTTGATAACGTTGAAAGACTGATGATTTTCGGCCCACGGAAAAAATTCATACATGGTTTGAAAGCCCTAAGCCTGAGATGCAACTGCACGTCAGGTTCAAGACTATCCGCGAAGTAGAAAGCACTTTTTGTTACCTAATTATACCATTTTCGGGTATAGCATTTGATAAAGACGTAACTCGCTACCAAACGAGTACAAGAGAGAATGTGTTTATGCATACTTAAAATAAAATATATTTTAATTAACAGAGACATCGCAACTCAGAAGAACGAGCGCATGCTACATAAGTAGCCATTTTAGACCAAGTATAGATTTTTCAGGTGGCTGGAAAGAAGCTCGATAAAAAGCTGACACCCTGCGTGACTGAACTATCTTCAGATTACGTTGCCGTCTAGTCAGTCTTTCGACCGCACCCTAGTAATTCATTTAAAATTTCGACCAAAATTTCACAAGATAGATCGGCTAATGTATTGTAAGTAGCAGTGTCTATCAAACCCCTACATTTGAACAATGTCCATTTAAATGGTATGTATTTTTTCAATTATTAATGCTTCTTGAAAAATATACAATTAACTCGTAGTAATTGCGAAGTGTTATGAACCATAGGTATGACATCCTCTCAATAATAAAAAAGAATTTGTAATTTTCCCTTCGTTAGAAGTAGACGGCTGACAGTTTAAAATGCCAAATTGCAATTGCTGCCGCGGGACGGATTAAAAGAATAATCAAAGATTAAAACAGTTTTTAAAACCGAGAGATGCTTTTTCTCCGAGTATTAAACATGGAAAGATGTAATCTGCTACCAAATGAATATAAAAAGGACATCCTTGTGAATATTTCCTGTGAAGTGTGTTTGAATTCGTAAGGACATCACACTACTTATGTAGTCGTTTTGACGAGTGCTGTTTCTGCGGGCGGCCAGAAATAAGTGCATTCAAAATTTGGCATCCTGGAGTAACTGAAATATTTTGAACGGTAATCAGCATCATCACCCTGTCTAAATAATACCCTCTAATCTAAACAGAATTTTGAAATACCCATTAACATTTCGTGAAAAACGTCACAGAAATGCTATGGAAGGGTGATGGGTTTTAAGCATGTAAGCATCGATCGATCAGTACGTTTTGGTGGCCGACATTTCCTGCGTAAACAGGTCTAAGATGAAGAGCAAACTCGATTCGGTAGCTCAGTAAGACATCCGGAGAGACTCCCTGAAAAAGGCCAACCTCCGAAGGTTTCACGATATTAGAAACTCCATTTCTTTGCCAAACAGCAGAGTATCCTCAGCAAGAATTAATATTTCATTAAGGCAGGCGGTAGTAGCCTCCTTAAAAGTTCACCACTAGATTCGACGTCTCCCAAACAGACACCCCACCGATTCCACCTTTTTTTCCACTTAGTCATCGGCTCTCCGCATGTTTTGTTAAACAACTTCAGACCAGTGCCATGACTGACTTTGAAGACTATGCTTTATGAAACTTTAGACCTTCTAATGCTTCCCAGTACATCTTTCATTCCTTCCTTGGGTGATGAGGTGTGTTCCTACAATGGGTCACGCGAGAGAGATGCTTGACCAAACACGAGAGCCAGTTCACGGAACGGAACGCAGTATCCGGGCTGCGCACCCATGAATGCTAAATGTGAGAGGGTGATGGCTTCATCAACTATTTTCCAATATATTTTGGGAAATAATTGCCCAAACAGTCGATATTTTGATGATAACATGAACGAATGGAAAACCACACATTTCGTAAGGACATTGCTTGAAAGTTATCGCTTATGATATAGTTTTTCCGGTCAGACGGTTTAACTTTACCAATATGAACAATTTCGAAATTTTGCACGAACATTTTTCGAGTCGTTGGTCTGGATACAAGCATTTTGTGCGTTCTAAAATGATGCAGACATGATATAGGAATAAGAACAAGCCCTATTTTAGGTGTCCTGCGCTAATTTCCAGAGAAATTATGGTTTGTGTTAGAAATAAGTCTGGTGTTAGGGTTACGATAGGATTAGCGTCAAGGTCGGGGTTAGGATCGTGGTCAGAATTGAGGTTAGGGTTAGAGTTACGTTTAGGGCCAAGGCTAAATGATGGATCTAGACACGGGAATATTGATTCTTCATGAGATTTTTGCAAGACCATCTGTGTTACCTGGGGTTCCTATTACCGTGCCTTATCATAATGTAAGCCAATACGTAAACCGTCAGCTTTTCGGTCTTCGAAATACATAGATAAACAGCTATTTTAATAGCCGTATGCCCCCGAAGATCGTCATCGAAGTTAATTATATCACCAACCAAACCTGAGGTAACGGTGAGCCAAAGGAATTCTGACGGAAGCTACAGCACACGACGAACCTTCCTGAACGCCGGTGCCGCCCAATCACCACGCTTTGGAATATCTTCTCATAATGTGCGTACTGCAGCCGGCTAAGTAAATGATCGCGAACTTTATCACTCAATTTATGATCCAATGGTCAATCAGAACGCAGCAGCTGACCATAAATATCGGAAAATATGCGGCAATCTAACTTGTAGAATTGAGAAGTCGTGGGACGCATAGTTACTGACGTATTAAAACTGTGGAGTATTGCAATTCCCATCCATATTCTGCAGCGTATAAATCAGGCATAATGACAAATTCTACTACCCACTTTCAAGTTCAGTGAGGCTTTAAAATTTCCCCCGTGTGTGTCGCAGACGGTTGCCTTCTACCCATAAACTGTATTCACGCGACCCTGGAAACAAACACTACTGTACTGTACAACTATGACCCCAATACCGTCCAAATGCGGTGCAATATTTTTCATCCAAAGGTAAGGACGTTCGCTTAACTGAGATGGGTTGGGTTATTCGAGACCTATACTTTCTCCCAACGATCTGACCGAAACTGGTATAAGAAGACCATGAAAAGTCTGCGAAAGATTATCTTGCTATCAGAACACTTATCCGCTTAAGTGACAGGTAGAGCTTGCCCTAGTTAGAGCGGCAACTGGTATGTGCTAGGGGTGTGCATTTTGCATGCTTCCTTACCAGGAATACAGCGCTCCACTTCGAAACGCTTTATCAAATTCCCACTCTCATACTGGGTTGAAAACCGAAATGAGTGACTCCCCGTACTATACATGGATTTAGTCTAAATTCCATGGGGTACCTAGTCCTGTACCCCAACGTTAACCCTAACATTATTACTTCCCTAACCCTGACCATAATCCCCTGGAATATAACGCAAGACCATCTGTAATACTGTGGAGGTCCGTATGTCCGCGCCTTACCCTTCTTTTCATGCATACGCATACGCTCCGGCTGCACAAGGCCTGTAAGATGCGTCGACGTTGCTGGAAGCGGGCTAAAAGTAGCCCGATGGGGAAGTCAGCGATGGCGCTAATAAGCTAACCAATACAAAAGCAAATTAACGCCAAAACCATCAAACGTCTGGTTGGAGTTGCAAAGAGGTCAACTATCCAGCAAAGAATGTCAGTCTTCTCTACTGTTAAATTATATGACAGACCTTTCCAGCGGTCTTTTCATGTCTTCGTGGTGCCTGCGTTTTAACCAGTGCAGGTAAATACACAAGCCCGGCCCTACTCAAAACCAAAATCCAAAACCACAATCAACGTATACAAAGTGGAACCTAGGATATCTGATCTACTTTGCTGCGGGAGAATCTTGTGAACCAAAGTTCAAAAAGATCCAAACGAAATTGAGAGAAGGGTGAAAACCGTAAACAATTTGCTCGACCACAATATCAGGAAATATCAGCGGGTAAATTTGTCTAATCCACTAATCCTGAGTTCTTAGAAGGCCGAGCATCTCTTATCGTGTGCCCACATGTTCGCGAGAAACATTTACTTTTACAAATGAAACAATATTCAGTGACCTGACTCACAGCTTACTTCAAACTAACGCCCACAGCGACATATAACCGGCTGATATGCGTAACGTTCCCAAAATGAGGCGTACGATCTGATCGGACAAAGTTACTGAGAGGTCTATTGAATAATACTTGGGCTGCTTGAAGGACAGTTAAGAATAAGTAGGAGATGCTAGACCGAATTCAACAAGACACCGGAGTTTTCTGCCGCAAAGTTGTCAGTAAATAATCAAGTGAGCTGCTTTTCTCTTAAGTACGGTTACCACAGATTTTACTGGGCCAAGAAAGAATGGTGGCTTTCGCTATCTTCACGGTAAGGCGCAGGAAAAAAAGCCCCGGATTTTTAACATTATTTTCCGCTGTATTCTCTGGTTGCATTGAAGGCAGACTTCCGGCCCGGCTGTTGACTTACTGTTCTCCTTGACGTTGTCACCATTGGTGAACGGAAAACAGAGCCAGACAGCGCATTCATTCCATCAACCGCGGCGCAAAGCAATAAGTAAATTTTCTTCACGAGTGTTGGACCGGCGGTAGAAAAGATTGAATAATTCCGGAAAAGCTAACCATCGGGCAACTATGTACGAGTGACCTCCTGAGCAACTAGAACAGCATAAACTTATTTGCGTCAATGCGCGGGCGAATAATGAATTTAAGAGTGTATTTAAGAAAACCCGAGTAAGACTTAATACATGCGCATATTAAAAACGCGTTGATTTTGAGGCCACAAATTTCCCGCGGTCGCCAAGGTCCAACTTCGAACAAAAACGCGCAGCATTCACAATTTACGTATTCCTTCTCCACACAAGCTGAATACCTATGAAATTTCAAATATCAAATACACCATCAAACGAAATTTGTCAATCCAAATCCACAACTGGTATTTCCTTACAGAAATTCTAGTTAGATAGTCAATATGGTCCGCACGTTTAGCAGGACCTGGAGTAGCCACACACAGTTCACCTACAGCGAGCACTTAATTAACTGACATTCAAGTAACCTTGACTTCAACAGCATTCTGCAAACCTCTCATACAACCAGCAACTTTTGGGGAAATCGGAGTCGGCCTGCTGAAAGGATACTGAAGTCAATACCTTAAACAAATAGTTTAGCAATTTCCATTTGCACGACGCAAACCAAGACTGATTTTTAAATTGATCATTAGAAATGTCTGACAGCCATAGGCTACACCGAAAACGAAATCGAGAAGTACCAAGCCCATGTACATATAACAGATATAGAGAACCTACAGTAGGTGGGCTAACCCATGAAATGTCAGCCGAAATTTCAAAATGCGTTCCCGTTTCGAAAAGATCAATTAAGAAAGTTTGACAAACTAATCCTCACACAGCATAATTTTAAAAAAGTTTCTAATTGTGCGATTTTTTAATAACGTGAAATGGCCATTCATAAACCCTCACGTCTCTTCATTTACTAATGTCGCTTGTAAAGTTAACAATATTGCTCAAATCCACTACCAAATCTTATGAACCCCACATGGTCTTCCCTTAATATCGTAGAGGAATGTATGGTTTTTCATAGGCAGAAAATATACGGCGTGTAGTTTTGAAACCCTGGATGCAAGTGTAACGGCAGGTCGGATTCAAAATTATTCGGGAATCGGAAGAGTTTTTGAAAACCGAATCATACCCTTCATTCGAGAATAAAATTGGAAAAAGACGCCATTTTCTACCAAATGAGCAAAAGAATGAATATTTTTCTGCATGTTTTCCATGAAATATAATTGAACGTTTAGGGGCATCGAAAATCAATGGGAAAAATGCATGCTAATTAAGTAGTCATTTTTTGAAGAGTACAGTTCTTGCATGCATTCGGCAAGAAGTTCGATCGAAAGCCCATACCCTGAGGTAACTGGATATTGTAGATTTATGCTGTATGATGATTAGTTTTACAACCCTACTCACTTAATCTTTTCGATACGGGAACGAATTTCGAAATTTCGGCTGGCATTTCATGAGTTAGTCCATCTACTGTACATGTGCGATTTAAGCCTCAAACTCACCGGAAATTCAGACCTGGACTGTTTTACACACACAACGCACACAACTCTAGCAAAGGGACTCGCTTTTTTCATAATTGCACGCTTAGATGCAGATCTCATACCCCGTCAACCACTGAGCCCAATCGCGCACCCGATGACTGCCAGTCGTCGACGGTGGACTAGTGCATGGGAGAAGAGTCAAAAGGTCGAAAAGCGCGTGCCATACCAGTATCAGCAAACCACAGCCCCCACAGACTGGTATGCGCTGGCAGTTCCCTGCTCGTAGATGTGATTACGTTCTCGCCAGGCATACAGGCAGTGAGCATGACCGCCCAGCCATCATCCTCGTCCTTTTGGCCCCTGTCGGGGTGCTTTTGCTGTTGTTGGATGAAAAATCCTGGTCAAGTGTATGCTGTGGACCGGGGGGTGTGGTGGCACGCCTAGGTGTCGGGCCCGACCGTGCCAGCCACCTGCGCTCTCCCTCGTCTCCGGTCTTCTTGACTCTGTCTTGACACCGGGTCCAGGTGGAGAGTGGGAGGAGCGAGTGCGGTAAGTGCTGCGCAAGTCCAATATCACTATAAACTAATTCACGCGCAAGTCACCGTCCCTGCTCTCATCGTGTTGTGTAGCACACGGTGGACATCGTTGACGGTTGAACTTTCTGGCCCCGGAGAAGGAAGAGGAAGTTATGCCACAACTGGGGCATCAACCACCACGGAATGTCAGCGCCTTCTCCACTACAATACATCTGACGCGTCTGAATAAATCCCGACGTGCCACGAGTTGTGGCCTGGAAGGTTATCAACTAACAGGATAACTCGATCTTCATCGGGACTGACGCCTACTTAGTGTGTCCTCTGGGCACTTTCAGACATACAGAATCTGAAAAGTCCTAGTGAAAGCATAGCGCATGCTGTGGAAAGCAATTCCTGTGTGGTACGCGTGGGCGAGGTGTTAACCGTTGTCATCCACTGCGCCCGTCTTGACAGTGTCACGCCATGGAAGCCAGGTAGGCGAGACGGCAGATGCCACGCAAGTCTGCCTCATCATAAACTGATTCACGTGCAATTCACCACTGTTGCGCCCGTCCCGTGGGGGACTCCGTAGGCACATCGTCGTTCACGACGGTCTGCCCGTCATTTTCAAAGAAATTATTAATTGTGTAAGTTCAAATGAATAAATGTTTGCGTCAGGGCCGGTTGGAAAAGAAATTTTATCCCACGTTCAAAAATAATGCTGTGCACAGCTAACATTTGTTATTTAAAAAACGACAGTTCGGTCGTCGATTCCGATCATGCCTACCGTGTGCTACACACAAAGGTGTAGCAGGCGAAAAGACTTGCTCGTGAACTAGTTTATAGTGGTATTAGACTTGCACAGTATCTACCGCACTCTCTCCTCCACTCTCCACTTGGATCCGGTGTCAAAACAGAGTCAAAAAGACTGGAAGCGGGGGACGGCACAGGTGGATGGCGCGGTCGAGCCCGCAACTTGGCGCTCCACCTCACACCCCCTGATCCACATAACAAATGACCAAGTTTTGACCAAAAACAACAACAATGGGTGGCGTTAGGGGTCTCAGTATGCACGGCGTCTGTCGGCAACGGTGACTGCCACCGCACCCCGAAATACTGACATTTGCTATGGTGCGCAAATCCGATAACGCCTGCCAGAATCTGATATGGTCCCCGTGTTGGTCCAGCGCACCTCCCACGTGGCCCGTCTTGGGGGCACATTTAAAATAACAATGAATGCAAAGCCCATGCTAACGTCATTTACGTCAAGGTTAAGGCAGTTTTCGGTGTCCTTCTCCATAAGTAATGTCATTTGGCAAAACCCGGCTGTTTTGATATTGTGACCTTGGAACAGCGTGCCAAAGGGAGTCTATGCCTTACCAGAAAATATGTGAAATAGGTTGTTTACAAGGCATGAATCTATCTCAAAACAAGCTCCCTACAGACAGAAGACTAAACGTATATCGGGAAGTTTAACGTTTTCTATGACTTGAATGGACTTATATGCCGCAACGCAGCCCTACACAATTAGAAAGTAGCAACTATTAGTACAAACATAATAGTATAAAAATCTTATACCCAAGCATGCAAGATATCGCTGATTTGCGAATCCTTCTCCTTGCGGTAACGCAAGGAAGTTTTGTCAGCGTGTTCGTTAAATATCTTAAAGTATTGACAGACCATGGTGATGTGACTTTCCGACCGAATTAACTGCACATCGCGCCGTAAAACTGTTGCAACGCAATTTGAGTAACAAAATGCGGGTAAAATTATTGCTGTTCTGAAGAAATTTTAACTAGACCAGGCAAAAAATGTCTGCTACGAGGCATCATCCAGAAGACGAAAATACGACCCGCTCAAAGCGAGATATATTACCAGTAAAAACGAAAAAACACAAATAGAATTCAGATAATTGTGACCATCTCCTTACTTCCTGCGGCCCGCATTTCTCATCGTCTCGGTGAGGCCTCGTAAGAAAGCATAGTGGTTTTATCAACTCGTGTTTTGCTTCTTTCGCGGAGGGCAGCCAACTTAAATGGTTTTCTATAATGCTTCCTTTTAGCCAAGATGAGCTTATCTAAGCGCCTTCGAATGTATCTCACACAAGTAGTTTTGCTGACTGCATATCTTTTAAATCCTTCTTTTGTGCTTTATGTCAGCTACAGTGATGACAGAGCACGATTATTTCAGTTATATAGAAAAAAGCAGGCAAAACTGCAGCACTTGGCAATGCAGGCAGATTTTTACAAACGGTGGTTCATTTTCTATTCGAACGCCAGTACTAGAACGCCGAGAGCACCGTCCCGGAACAGTGTACAACTGAGTTAGGATGCCTGCCTGCCCCCAAAGAGGCCTCACCAAGACCGACGAGATATGGCCTGGTGCCGCAGAGCGAAAAGAAGACGCTTCACAAATACCTGAATTTTATTTAAGCAAAGCAACAACTATGTAACAGATCTGGTTGCAGACTGTTTAATGGTGACAAGCGTTGAGAGCTAAGTTACTAGCAATAACTTCGTTGACAGTATGGGCAAAAACTCGACGATGAACGACTGTTGACCAACCAGAAATCTGCAGGTAGGCTCAGTATTGCCTGGTCACTAAGTCCTTGTATACTCGGTCCCATTCCTCCGCCGGCATATTGGTTATTCGATGGTTGTCCAGAAAATCTAGTGAGCTGTTCGAGTTGTCTTCTGAGCTCCTTGTTTTCTCTACGTAGGGCCTTCAAATCTGACCCGTTTTGGGGCTAAAAACAACAAAAAGGGGTTAAGTGGGTTCCAATGGGTACGATTTATGACATAACTTCAAAGAAGGACCACCATGTAGGGTATGAAAATGTGTACCTCTCTCTTGGACTATTCCCTTAGGAAATGTCCTTTAATGCACTAAAACAAGCCTGCAACCCAAATACGTTTATTCTATACTATATATGCACATATGCTTATTTACTCACAAATGGACGCACACCGATCTATTGGCCTCCCGAAGTAAACAAGCTCCATATGGGTGGCAAAGGTCACGAACAGGAATCCAACTACCAGGCCGAAGTCGGCCAAGCCATAATAACAGCCAGACAGCCAGGTTGCCTGTTCGCGACCTTTGCCACCCATACGAAGCTTGCTTGCTGCAGAAAGCCAATAGATCGATGTGGGCCCATTCCTGATTGAATAAATACCCAATCTGCAGCGACAGAGAATGACAGGTGGTGAGGCACTAATGAACTTCGGCCCGATGAAGTGCTTCTGACCAATCTTGTAGGTTTCAGTGGTGGACCCACTACGCCACTGTCAGTGCGCATTTTCGTGTTTCTGGTTTCAGCTGTTGTTCAGGGTTATGACTGGCTGAATGAAGGCAAAATAAGCCCGAAACAGCACTGTATCTACCTACTCGCATTCTCTGCAGCCTCTCCTCGCTGCATACACATATAATGGTAGATTTGTCCTCACCAATCGGGTTAAGTAGCATACTAATTAATATTTCCGATCACAACCGACAGGACGACGAATCCGCTGTTCATTGGTAGAGCGTCCGACTCAACGGCCAAAGATCCCGGGTTGGAATCCCAGGGGGTTCACACTTGGAATGGGACGCGACTGCCTGATTACGGCTAATAAGCCAGAAATGGCCATTTCGGTCTCCCGTGTCTTTGACGGTATCACCTTACCTACACACACATATATATATACATATATATATATACGAGCACGATCACTTTCTTGAAAGCCTACCGTTATGGCCACTTCCGAAATACAGATAGCTTTGCGTCACAGTTCGAAAGGGGACACCCAAATCCGTGTCCGACGGACCACTTTCGTCAAAAACGCGTTCATTCCAGGGCTTCCTTGACGGTTTTTGGGAGTACATCCGGAAAGCAAACAGCTGCTCTAACTTTTACTAAAGTCTTAGGGTGTCAACATTCATTTAAATACAGCTGAAAGCTGAGGCCTCAGCCCTGAACTCCAAATGGAATATCTCTTAATTCCTCAATGCCCTTTAACAGCATAGTTCAAACGTGCCTTGCTAAACGAACAATCATAGCAGCAACCTACCTCCGGTTTTTGTTTACGGAGGACTAGAATAGATTACATCACCGGTCGAAATTCTCATCGGTGGTCCGTTGTTTTGCCTCTCCCGCCCAATTAATATGGCAGGGCCAACAGTTGGGATTTCAACAAGTGACTCAGTCTCATCCTCGAAAACAGATAACGGGTGGTGGATTACTTGTATGGTGGTTGTTACAGGCTGATCTACGTAATGAACATATGCACGCTATATGCACTGTAAAAACTGCAATATTAGTAATCATTTATGCCGAAAATAATAGGCTAACGGCTATGCGGACTAGATCGTGGTCATACCCAGCCCAGTTTAACCTATCCCCTAGGGCAGAGACGAATTAGACGTTTACAGAGTCCTACTAGTGGCACCAGAATAGAGGAAAGACAGATACGAGATTGAAAATTTGTTTAAGTTTTCAAAGAATAAATGTATCGAAATCGAGTAGACGTTAGCGGCCTTAACGATACTGGCGCACTTGTGTGCAGTCTCAGATGATAACATTCTTCTGTTTTTTCTAAACAGAAAGCAACAAAAATATAGTTACCAGTTTTTATGGACTTCTATTCGATGCGGTGCTTTGCTTTTGAAAACTCCATCGCCCAATCGATCATGTTTGTATAGCACACAAAGTCGCGGAACAAACGTCACAAGATATTCAGGACGCCTAAAGTGCACGTTCTGCGTACTTTAGCTAGATACCTTTGCTCGAATTTGCTGAGGCAGGTGAGGTGAAAACAAATTGTATATTGCGATTCTTTTTAAGGAGACCTTTGGTCACAAGAGTTAAATAAAAAGTGGGACCGGAGTAACGTGATCTAGGTAATACGAGATTACGCTTAACAATTGTAGCAGTCACCATTTTGAGAATAAGAACAAGTAAATTGACGTTGGTTAGAATGCTGGGTCTACTTTTAGGGGCAAAAAAATCGCTACAGCTTTAACGCATACAAACCATAATATGAACGGCGCTTTTAGACAAGGACAGCTTGGAGCAGAAGAACTGACAGTAGTCCGATAAATGCCGCTGTTGGCGAGACGTGTATAAGTACGATAGAGAATTGTACCTCGTTTTTCTAAATAATGAACGCCGAGCATAACGCGGAGGTTTGGCCCTTTAGTTGGCCCAAAATGGGGTAAAAGTTTTTTCAGCTTAAAAAATTGCAGCTACAATGCTTGACCGATCTCATGAAATGTTGGTCGAAATTCTGAACTGCGTTTTCGATTAGGAATGATTACTTAGGTGAGGTTGTAATATTGATTATCTTGCAGCAAAATCCTACAGTATTTCGAACTTGCCAGGCCGGCAGCTTTTGAATGCAATGCTTGTTGACCTCCTGCAGCAACCACACTCGGTATAGGACTATTACTTAAGTAGCATGCAGTTTCGCACTGATTTTCGATGGTCCTATAGATTTAAAGATATTTTCTAGAAAACATGCACCAAAGCATGTCTTCTTTTATTCATTTTGTAGGACATTGCATTATCTTTACACCTCATGCCCGAAGAAAGTATATATTTATGTTTTGAAAGAGTTTTGAATTCCCGAGTAATTTTAAGCCTGATTAGCCGTTGCATTGGCGTTTAGCGACTTCAGTCTACAAGGTTTATGCCTTCCGCGCAAGGAAAGTCAGATATTCCTCCACGTTTATGAAGATACTGTATAGGGTTCATAAAATTTTGTAGTGGATGCGAAATATATTGTAAATTTCATGGAAAGCATTAGTAAACGGACATTTGCCATGCTGTATACATGGACATCGCACGGTCTTAAAAATCTCATAATTAGGAACTTTTTTAAACCAGAGAGCTAACCTTTCCTAGGGTATAAAATGTAAAGGCCCTTTTCTATCAAACGAGTAGAGGAAAGCATGTTTGTGCATATTTCCTACAAAATATATCTGAATTTATACGACCATCCAAAGTCAGTGCGAAAGTGCATGCTGCTTAAGTAACCATTTGATACCGAATGTGGTTCCTAAAGGAGGTCGAAATAAAGGGCATTCAAAAGCCGCCATCCTGGTAACTCCATAATACTGTATGATTATATCGCAAAATAATCAATATTACAACCCCATCTAAAAATCCCTCCAAATCGAAAACGTTTTTCACAATTTCGGCCAAATTTTCTTGAGATCGGTCATGAGACGAGGAAGGCTAGAATGACCATTTCTGGCTTAATAGCCGTCGTCAGCCAGGCATACTCAACCCCGAAGTGTGGATCACTTGAAACTCGATCCTCTAACCTGCTATTTAGAAGTCCAACGCCTCTAATCACTGAGCCACTGGCTGGTTGTATTGTGGGTTGCGAACGGCAATGTCGAGGGGCGCGCACCGATCGTTTTTACGGAAATCACTTATCCCGTTAGGCTTTACGGGGTCCCCCTCTGGCCCAACCAGCAGCTGCACAACGGCGCATGATACAGATAGAATGGTATTACCGACAAAGAGAGAGAGTTTCGTTCTGCCTTTTTCGCGATAACTGGCACCTTTCTGCACGCATTTACCAGATCTGATATCAGCCTAAAGGCCTTTAGACATGAAACCCACAGATTCAAGGGTAACTGTGGGTATTTCTAATCGGGCGAATTTGTTAGATATACTCGCTTAACTGCGCATCGCATACTGGGCGCTCATGGCAGGATTACAATTTGTCGTAACATTAAGTTCATTCTAGTCTTACAATGGCGATCTCAAGTTCATTCGCGATTACTTTGCAGGCTATTTTCAGCGACTTCCTCTGATTGTATGTCAGGAGTCGAATCTAGAAATATTTTCGGCTGAAATATTAAAGTAAATTTTAAAACATAAGAAAATACCTAACGACGGTGCTAATACCAACGAAAATGTAATAAAAGTTCAAAATAATTACTGTGGAATAAGATGCTGGTCTTTGCTTTAGCAGTTGAAAGCAAGAAGCATCCAAATTTTATTCTGCAAACTAAGTTCACAGATAACTATGTGTCTGTTGGAAGTCTTACTTGAGGGGAGGACAGAGCTCTGTTTTAACAATCGGGATTTCAAGAATGTTCGAAACACCGAAATTGCTATTTTTGTGGCCTAGTATCTGGGTGTTCAACAATCTAATTTTAAGGATTCAAAATACGGAAGATGAAGATGCGATCACTTGAACAAGAACTTTATTTGCTTGACGTTTCGGATTCTCACTCGAATCCATCATCAGAGACATTCGCAGATAAAGGTCAAGTGCGAATTCAAAATACGATTCGTACATAATGCATGTACAGGGGGACATTGACAGGAATGTGACGTCATCCATTTTAAAGCCCAAATGTAACCCAATTTAACAGGTCATTTTAAAACTTTATGCCATTTTTTAAATATAAACCTTAACGGAAGGTAGGCTTAAAGTCAAACGGTAGTTTCAGTTGCGTACTAAGCTCAAAAGTCCAGCATGGTTTGCGCGCCTGTATGTAAATACTGACAGAAATGGTAGGTACATCGATGGAAAAAAATAATTTTAACTACTTTTTCCCAGTCCAAAATATTTATCCTTTAAAATAAGAGCAATGCCAGGAACACCATAGGAGTAAAATTTAATACTTTATTCAGATTTTCTAAGAACCTTGGAGGCGATAATTTGAAATCGCACAGAACAGCTAGACAGACTAGCCTCAGGTTACAGTGGACACTACGACAGACTTATCAGTCCCGCTCAGATCCCACCTTTCTCGCTTGACTTACCTTGCGGCTGTTACTTGTGCTTTGCTCGAAGACTAGTTAACTAGGCAGGGGCCATTTGCGGGAGAAGGAAAGATCGTAAACTCGGACCATAACTTCTCAAACATCCTCCGAAAAAAAATAATTATCGTGTATACCCATGCATAAACAGGACAGGCAGAAATAAATCGCTATAAGTCGTAACATCTACAGAACTCTAGTCTAGATTGCCTATCATTGTGGACGGGTTACCTTTTAGCCTACCGCTCTTCCTGGTAGGGTTCTTTATATATACATATATGTGAGTGAACATGCGTACCTGGATAAAAATAATATTGACCTTATTGCAGGTTGGCTGCTATGGTGGTAATTGGGAAGTTGGTGATTCACATGGGGGAGCTTATTTTACTTAAGATCCTGGCAAAGACTTTAATGGTGACAACCATAAGGATGAGAGTTAGGTCACTGAGGGTAGGGATACTTATGCTTATCTAAACAGTCGTTGTCATGCCAAAGTGATTGAAAAATACGAGAGTTACAGGAGCTCCTTCACAGTCTTCAGTAACTGATTTTTCTCTATTTATAAGAGTTAAGGTTGAAGTGTTTACCTGCGTAGCCAGTGAGTACTTGCGCCGGTTGACAGATGGGTCACTTGCGATATTGGAGTCGTCATATTCAGCCCAGGTGACATTCCTCCCGGGACAAGAACGGCTTCTTGGAAAATCATTAGCAAGTCTCTCTGTCCGCAACTTCCGCCGCAGACGCTCTATTTCGTCGCGACAAATACTGTGAAGATCAGGTTGATTTCTATCCGCCGATGGCATTGAAAATCTTTGAGGCTCTTGATAGGGGTGAATGGGGCGTGGGGTACCATTTAACGAGGAATAATTTCGATCAAAACCCTCACATGGACCTGTAAAGTTAGATAAAGAACTCAAATGAATTTTAAAAGATCGTCGATATACTTGTGAATTGCAATGAAATTTACTTACATTAATGACGGAAAAAAGCTTTGACTAGTGTTGTTTATTTTAAAGTCTTGGGTGCTTTTAAGTTATAAATTAACCAAGATTAAAACAAATAACTGGCGAGAGGATGCGATTGGCATTTTGCCTTCCTGAATACTGCCTCCCACAGCACAAAAATCCTTTTTCTGCGATGTACTGCATAGGACAGAACTCTTAATTATGCTGACAACAGTTCTAACAGGCTTATAAGCGCATATATTCGTAAGTGCATACATTGATATTTTGGCAGATTTGGAATAATTCATATTGACCCAACTGTGAAAAACTCGGCGCCTCGGTGGGATTCGAACCCAAGCAGTAAGGGGAAGGCCTTCCCCTTACTGCTTGGGTTCGAATCCCACCGAGGCGCCGAGTTTTTCACAATTGGGTCAATATGAAGTAAGTGCATACATTTTTTATCGTATAGAAAGGGACTGAAACCAAAAATTGTGCTCCCAACGTAACCGTAAGTTCGAAAAACCATTCCTAAGCAATGCGTTTGGTAGTAACACAAGAAAAAGATGTAAAGTTTCTAATGCATCAGATATTTGCACTAGAAACATCAGTGTGACTTTAAACAACGGATACTCAGGGAGAAGAGTCTCTTTTAGAGGAAGCTTCAAATGCGTCTCCTTGAGTAGACTGCCGGACACTAATTCCCTTTTGCATACTGCTTTCATGAGAACTTCGCAGTTTGGTGTTTATATATCTTCCGGGAACTTGGAGACTACTTCTGTAAGACTCAGAATTACAGAACTAAAGATATTATTAGCAACAGAATACGACTTTTGCTTGGAAAACTACTAAAATTTTAGAATGCTGTCAGATGTACAGTACCTGTGCTAACTCATGAAACGCCGAGGTCAAAATTATAATGGAAACTGTAGCGTATTTTTGGTGTTACCGATTTTGCGTTAAAGTCGTTTACCTGCGTTAATTCATGACATTTCATTACTTAGCACAGGCACTGCATAACCGATGACCAGTCCCTTTTAACACTAAAGCACATATCTGGGACCGAAATGTGTTGTAAAAGTCAGCTCTTGCGGAGTTAATGTCAAGAGAGCAAACTGTAAGCTACAAGCAACGTCAGTATGCAGCTAATTGAAATTCAAGAAGCAAGTGCTAACAAAAAGCGACATGAATTTTGAGGTAACGGGTGTAATCTCGATTTCCTGACTTCAAGTTTACAACGATCTATGCGGCAAAAGTGGATGTAAATACAAATCTGCTGACAAAGATAAAATTGGCAGCTAGAGTAATGACGATTTGGCCCATAGACTGACAGAGGCGAATTCAAATGTTAAATTATTTTTTGTTTAAAAAAGATGAGAATTAAACCGGCGGAACTACATTAACTGACCCTAACAAGTATTCCAACATCTTTGAGATGATCTGAGCAATTTAATAATGGTAATTTGAATCTATTTAGAAAATAACTATTGAAATGGTAGGGCCAAAGTCAAGTAAAAGGGGCGAAAATAAGGGAAAATCGGGTATGCAAAGACGAGTGGCAAACCTGCTAGTGAGTTCATAAAAAATTTTGTTTTCCGGCTCGTTCGCTTAAGGCACATGTAGCCAGAGGTACGCGCGAATTGTCAATAATTTGAGGTTGTTTGCATAAACAGCCCGGACATAAATCGCTGGCAATCATCAAAAGCACTTGGTGAAACGCAGTTAGCTTAGTGCTCAAAATGAAATTCATTGAACAACAGAAGTAAGAACAGACTGCGTGGTAGATGGGTGACAGATATGTAAGTAAAAATGTACTCGCAAATATTCACAGAGTGATCATTCCATAATTGTTCTTAGAGGCCTAAGAAGGGACGTTTTACAGCTGTTTCATCATCTTCATTATGCGAGAAAGATTTTTAAGACATTATGGAAATGTCTGTAAAATTCGCTTTTTGAATACATTACCTTCTACGGCATTTAACAAAGGCATGGCTAATAAATTTTTTATTTACGTTGGATAACTGGATTAACGTAATTACGAATAAGAAGGTCGAAATGATCACAAAAAGATTACTCAGCAGCACCGGGTTACTGTATGCAATCGTTTCGTTTGAATTTAAGCCCAAATTTGCTCAGCACACCAGTTAGCTGACTGTCGGCAATGGAATATATATCGCCGACCAAGTGAAACCCAGATAACTGATATAAATATGTAGCAATAATAGCGATGTGCCGTGGACCAGTGGCGATTTTCACAAAGCCGTTTAAAGTGCATTGCTACAAACGGAAGATGAGGTGCATTTTCGACCAAATAACTAGAACTTGTTGATGCAAACAATTTTTTGGTGCAACACGCAATCTGCGGATTGAACAGCTGAATGATTTTCCTTATAGTCCACTTTTCGCACATTTTTACGCAAACTGCTCTGAATCCATGTATCCGACTTTGCGTATAAAAGGCCATAAAAACTCAAAAAATGTAATAAATAAGCCAGGTGGATGTGCAAAAGCGAATCAGTAAAAGTGTCAAAGGAAAGATGACGGTTGATTACTAAAGGGTTTTAGCATTCCGATTCGAAAATTTTGTCATCGCTGCGCGTGAATACAAAATGGAACTATTTAATAAAGCTCTTATAAGGACTATCAAACACTTACATGCGACGACGGGGTAGTCGAAGTGAACGCACGTTGGCTGAAATAATTCAATATTGTGAGTGCAAAATATAATTTTATTGAATTTTGAAAAATTTGTACTTAATGGCCAATCTACATTCGGTTAGGTTAAAAACGAGATCCGCAAATATGATCCACCGCACTCTCACCCCTTTTTTCCTACAGTTCATCTTGAGAAGGGAAAAAAGCACCTGGTTTAAAAAGACCAGCACGACGATACATATACGCAATTATAATTTGTGACAGACTTAAATAAAG